TGTCCAAACACAAGGAGACGAAAATAAATGGTCTCACACCAAAGTGGTAAGCAAGTCAAGTAGTTGTAAAGTAAAGTAGTTCACACAAATTGTGTATGCGAATATATATAAATAATTCAGACAAGCGTGGGAAAAATCATTAGACAGTCTTAACATGAATGGCTAATTATAATGGAGTGTCGATCCAATTATACATAGCGAATATAGCAGACATGCCAACAAACATATATGGATATATGTCACCAAGCAACGGACTGTCAACAAACACTCATATTATATATAATATAATATAAGGAGAATACACATTATTAAGGGAGACAAGTTCATACAAGTGAAATGGTCACAGACTAACCGAGCAAACAGAAAGAGAGACCAACATGCACACACACACATAAATATATATATGTGGATACATATCATCAAGTCATACAGAAAATCCTAATATACTTTATCTGAATAGAAATCCACCATCATGCATTGTAAAGCATTTATTAATGTCTGGTCACAAAATTTTTTATTTTTTATTTTTTTTTTATTTTTGATTACAGCTTGATTCCACACTGTATTTTTGGTACAAGTATGGAATTTTCAGCATGGATATTGGTAGCCCAAATTTTGCAGGCCGACCATAAATATCAGGTGTGCGCCGGTGAGGGCTCGAACCCCGGACCATGTGCATGGTTGGCGAGAGTCCTAACCAATGTGCCACCGACGCACAAAATCAACATTAACGACTGTTTTCTCAATTATTCTCAATCATAACTTAAATTCAAGCTTATTTAAAGGTGATGGAAGCACTTCGGGGATTAATCATATACATCTCAAACTGCGTGTATATGGGGAGGACAATAAACTTCAAATTTCGCCTACCTGTCTGTTTTTGACATAGAACTTTTCACCGATGTGCAACAGTTAAAGTCGCTACACTCCCTCCATGTAGCACACAAGGCAAGAGAAGTAAGTAGAAGAAATGCATAGTAGAGACAGTAAACAGAGGTGTGAGACAAAGGAATAGTAATAACGAAGAACAAAACAGTTTCATTGGATGCATCTGCACCAGCCATTGAGAACGATCACTTTGAGACATATCACCAGTTGTTTGCAGCCTCCAATGGTTTTTCCTGTCCCAAGGATCCCAACCAGGAAGTGTACATCTTCCTACGTGACTGGCTTAAATTAACTGTTGTGGATTTCATTGACTGATGAAGCTAGGTTTTATTTTTAATACCATTAGTTCTTTTTAGTTTAATTCATTCTGTGTCAGCTAGTATTGACCATCGAGGAAGGCGATGGATGTCTAGAGATGCATGAGTAACACAAGTCCTAACCATCTCAAACGATATAACTAAAAACCTCGTCCATTGATTTCCCCTCCCACCTACCCATCACTCGATTATTTTTATTCTTTCCTTTAGTTCCTAGAGGAACATAGGGCTTCAATCTCACGTCTCGATTGCGTTCAGTTCTTCACCAACGTTTTCACCTGGTTCCATGTCTGCCCATATGCTTTCATCTCCTCTTCACATGACCTCCTCCATGTCACCCTCGCACTGAAGACCAGCAGACTCGTCATCTCCCATTCTGGTTCCACTAGAACGATGGCCTGGAGTGTGATGTCACCCACTTGATGATGGTTTGTTTTCTCAGAGTATGGCCACCGATTCACCTCCATTTCTTCCAGCAAATTTGTTGCTCAAATGGATTCTGTTGGGTTGATTTGCTTATTGTCACAGATCCCTGTTACTGATCTTTTCTGGTCGGCCATCTGGTCTGGAGCACTATTAGGCGAAGACAGCTGTTGATGAAGGTCCGCAGTCAGTTTGAAGTGCCAAGTATCTGATCCGCATAGTAAGTAGCACTGACTTCACACTGGAGTTGAAATTCTAGATCTTATTTTTCATGCTGACCAGTACTGTTGATCTCCACTCGATGCCTAACCTCAATAATGCTCACCTTATTATACCACCACTTAAAACGGGAGATTGAAAAATGTCAACCACACACGAAAAGAACTTTGTTATCAAAAGTTAAATTCTCAAGTGCTACTTTGTAGACATCTGATTGGCTGAAATTCTGCCCGCACAGATTGATATGTTATAGAATCACTGAAAACCAGGATAACAGTGGAGCTGACCAATGAATTCCGTTTCAGTGATTGAATGGTCAAGGAGCTCATCTTGTAAACACCTGAATGTCCTGCAGTTCGGTTCCTGATGGTTAAGTCATGAGTATCACTTGTCGCAGAGTCTCAGACTATAAGGAAACAACTGTGCAACCCAGTATCCCCTTACTGATTTTCATTGGCTCTCTAACAGTTCATCTACTTACCTTACGCAATTTTACTATTTATTATTACGATTAGTGAATAAAATAATATTCTTTTCGATAACTTCTCCTAGTTATAAATCTATAATAGTTAGGAAATTATTGCTATTGACAACATCAATATTTTAAAAAAATTAAAATCTTAGTGGAGAATATTTGAGGTTCGGGGGGTGGAGGTATATGTGAGTAAACTATTAGAGGTCAAAACATGTCAGTAAGTGATAACATGAGTAAAGAGATGGAGAAAGCTTCGAGGATAGGCAACACCAGGCAACTCTTTGGACTCATCAGGGAAACGGGTGGGAGAAGGCAAATCATCAGTGAGACAATCTCGGAAAAAAATGGCACTATAATTAGCTCCCAGGATAGACGACTGGATCGTTGGAAAGAGCATTATGAGGAGCAGTTTAATTGGCCCACAGCCACGCTCAACCTTCCGAGCATCCAACACCTCCCTGAATGGGATATAGACACAGGTCCTCCATCCCTAACTGAGGTTACTAAAGCTGTCACCAATCTGAAACAAGGCAAAGCAGCAGGACCTGATGGAATCACTCCAGAGGTGTTTAAGTACGGTGGAGACAGCTTACTGTCCGGATTAACTGAGGTACTAGGCAGCGTCTGAAAATCAGAAGAAGTCCCATCGGGTTGGTGTAAGTCACTGATTATCCCCATATACAAGAAGGGAGACAAGTCTTCCTGTGATAATCACAGAGGGATTAGCTTGACTAATATAGTATCTAAAGTCTTAGGCTCAATAATCATGCGTAGACTGAGTGGTGCTCGGGAAGCACAAACACGAGAGAGCCAGGCAGGCTTAAGACCAGGAAGAGGGTGTATTGATCATATCTTCACCCTCCGACAGATTCTAGAACATAGGAATTCCTACCGGCGTCCAACAGTCATTATATTTCTTGACCTAAAGGCAGCATTCGACTCTGTCGATCGAGAAGTTCTCTGGAGATGCTTGGCTGTAAAGGGAATTCCGAGAAAATATATTGCACTGATTAAGGCACTCTATTCGTACTCATACAGCCAGGTGAGGGCTTACGGCGAGCTGTCATCTGAACTGATGACGACCAGTGGTGTCCGTCAAGGATGCCCATTATCTCCTTTTCTATTCAACTTCATCATAGATGTGTTAATGGACTTAACCCTAGGTGACTTCAGTGACTCAGGGATTGACTTGCTACCGGGGAATAATCTCGTTGACTTGGAATATGCAGACGATATAGTCCTTCTAGGCGAAGACGCTGACGAAATGCAGAGTCTTCTAAACACCTTGAGCCGCAATCTACGAATGTTTGGCATGCGATTCGCTCCCGCCAAATGCAAGATGATGTTACAGGACTGGACTACATCGACGCCTAGTTTAAAAATAGGAAGTGAAGTGGTAGAGCACGTTGACCGCTTCACTTATTTGGGAAGTACAATCAGCCAACGCCAACGGGTTGATCTCTGACGAAATCTCAGCACGAATACAGGGGGCTCGTTTCGCATTTGTTAGTTTACGCCGACTCTGGCGTAGACGAGATGTTCGACTATCGACCAAAGGGCGGGTGTACTGCTCATCAGTCCGCTCCGTCCTCCTTTATGGTTGTGAGACCTGGCCACTGAGAGTGGAAGACATGAAAAGACTAGCTGTCTTTGATCATAGGTGCCTGCGCTCTATTTCCCGTGTAAAGTGGCATAATAAGGTGAGCAACATTGAGGTTAGGCGTAGAGTTCTAGGTAAACAGGGGAAATCAATCGACGAAGTCGTGAAGCTACAAAGACTGAGATGGTTAGGACATGTGTTACGTATGCCAAGCCATCGCCTCCCTCGACGAGCAATGTTAGCGGATATAGGGTCAGACTGGAATAAAGCGAGCGGCGGTCAAACCAAAACATGGTGGCACCAGTCAATGAAATCCACAACAGTTAGTCTAAGCCACTTATGAAGGTGTAGACTTCCAGGCTGGGGTCCTCGGGACGGTAAAAATCTATGGTTGGAAACAATTGGTGACATGGCTCAAAATCGTTCTCAGTGGCGCAGATGCATCCACTCGCTATGACTTATGATCTCCAATGAAACTGTTTTGTTCTTCGTTACTACTATTCCTCTGTCTCACACCTCTGCTCACTGTTTCTATTATGCTTTTCTTGTACTTTCTTCTCTTGCTTCGCGTGCTACACGGAGTGTGGCGACTTGAACTTCCGCACATTTGTGCAAAGTTCTATGTCGAAAACAGACAGATAGACAGAACATGAGTAAATATAGCACTAAACTGAATTTTCAAAAGTTGCTTTGTGGGGATTTGAGTTATTTCAAGTTTTGATTGTGGATTGGTATTAGTTAGAGAACCACCGAAAACCAGGAGGAAGTACTGGACAGTCGTTTCATCTTAGTTCAGGACTCATCATCAGTACGCATGCACAGGGTCCCAGTGGCTGAATGGTCTACGAGCTTGTTTGGTAACTGCAGGCTCCTAAGTTTGACCCCCGGTGGAGTCACGGATGCGCACCGCCAATGAGTCCCAAACTAGGACGAAACAGCTGTCCAGTACTTTCTACTGGTTTTCGGTGGTTCTGTAATTGATATCAATTTGTTATCAAACTTTAAGAGGATAAATTTTAAAGGCGTCGATACAAATGAATAGAAAAAAATATCAAGTTTTCAAAACAAGGTTACTTACTAATAGTTGAGTAATCTTCTTCTCACCACTATCATCACCTATTCCAGCTTTTACGTCACCCCCACCCCCACCACCAACATTATCATTATCATCATTATCGCTAGAATCATTCGATGAAGATTGAGCATTTAACCAACTGTTTAAATCTTGTTTCAATGATATGTTTTGTAAGTCATTATCCAACTGCTGTGAAAGAGAAACATCATCTCCTCGTAAACTGTTGCGATTATCACCATCATTGCTAAGTGGCTTGGTGGTCGTTTTTAATTTCAATGCTGACGGTGGTGATGGTGATGTTTGTTCTTTCAAGGCATTCTGCGTATTCGTCAGTTGTTTTGATCGAATTAAATATTCTAAATCGAAGTCAGAATCAGAGTCATCATCATCACCATCACTATTATCGTCTTCCTCGTCCTCTTCGGTTCCATTGTCATCGGCATTCTCTTCATCGTTACTGGTGAATTCCTCATCGGAAGCAACTTCATCATCATCATCGTCGTAAAATGACTGAGTAAACACAATGCATGGAATAATAATCATTATTATAACAATGATAACAAAAAGAACTTAATGGAATTACTTCACCATAACAAATTATTATTTAACGTCCCGAATCGAGGTCATGAGAAAAAAAATGACATTGCTTAACTTTGACGAACTCAACGACCAATCACAGAAGACTTAAAGTGGGCAAATACGATTCGCAGACCGGACTGTCTAAGAAACACTGTTGATATTCTTTGTGACTATATATCTTCTAGTTGTTTTTCATTTCCTTTTCCTTTAACTTACTTAAAAGACTTATTACTTTTTACGTCCATTTCACGTTTGAAGGTGAACATTTTCGACAAGTGGATGGCGTTGCTATGGGGAGTCCATTGGGACCTTTGTTAGCAGATGTTTACATGTCTTATGTTGAAAACTTATCCTTTGATTTAATTTCTAAATTGCCCTTCTATAAGAAATATGTAGATGATATCATTTTCATAGGTGATGATCATGAAGATGCGAGTCGTCTGTTAGACAGACTTAACTCTTTACATAACCATATTAGTCTTACATGCGAGGAAGAAAGTCTCAACCAGCTTGCATTTTTAGACATACTTCTGAGTTGAAGAAATGATGGCTCAATAAGACGATCAATCTACAGAAAGCCCACTTGGATAGGGCAATACCTTAATTTTCACAGTTTCTGTCCATTACAGTATAAGAGAGGGTTGATGAAATGTCTATATAAGAGGATTCAGCGTATTTGCACGGCTGATGTTATAGACAAAGAAAATGAAATATTGATGGATACTTTTGTGGAAAACGGATATCCTGTAAAATTTTTAAACAGGTGTGGAAGTCAACTAGCCTCTAAACTACAATCCATACAGCCTCTAAGAAAAATCTTTTCATCAAATTACCATATAACGGGGAAATAAACAGTAGGATATTGCGACAAAGGTTGAATTTGATCATCCGTAGCACCTACTCTGCGGCCCAGCTTGTAATTGTCGAAAAAGTTAAAAATATGCTCCACTTCAAACCTCAGAAGTGCACAAGTGATTATGTCACATCCCACACTATTTACCGATTTTCGTGTGTGTGTGTGTGGTCACACATACATCGGGAGGAGTAATCGCGCTTTGCATGTGAGGAAGGGGGGGGGGGAAAGCATATCCAAAAATGGTTAGAAAAACAAATGAATTGTGGAAAACCAATAGATACAGGTGTCACACTACCAACTTCGTCTATAGCTAAACACCTAATCGAGATGAACTATAAGACTGATGCTAACTAAGCCCTTAAGGTCATCTATTAAAATGATCAAGGGCGCTTACTGAAATACGCCGAGGCTATAGCTACTCATAAACTTAAACCCCCTCCCTGTGTATTCAAAAACAGTTTGTTATTACTCTTAACCTACCTTGGTAATCCTTATTTGATTGGATTACCAAACGTTGTGTTAATCATTCTTAAATCCGTTTTTGTCACTTGGTTTAATTTAACTTTTCCATGTATATTGACTTGACAAGTAAATGTGTGATCAGATTGTTCGAAATAAATAGGGCAAATACATCGCATGGCTTTTCATATAATCTCCGTCTTGAGCAAGAAAACAACCAATCAGAAGACGTTGCTTCTCTACTAACAATGACGCTAACAATAATGTACATAAAAATGTATAAATATCTATTGATTTCCTCAAGAACGATTAGTTGCCTGACCTTTGTCTCCTCTCATTACAACACTACTGATTAGTTCTAATACAGAGGTACACACCTTGAAGCATTTATCGATCAATTTTCTGTTCTAAGTGAAGTTAACTAGTTGATAGGATAAAACTTTAAAATAAACAGCCAAAGCTTACCGACAAAGCATCTTTAGGCTTTCTCTTCACTTTTCTTTCTGCAGTCGTAGACTCCTCTTCTTCTTCTTCATTTTCATCGCCTTCCTCATCACCATAAACCTTGTTCTCATCCTCCTCCTCCTCCTCCTCGTCGTCGTCATCATCTTCTGACTCTGAGAAGAAGTCATTCAATGAGAGATTGCCAAAACGATCAGCTTTTCGTTGGCGTTTCTGTTGGTGTTCATCGAATATATTTGTATTATTATTGTTGTTATTACTGCTATAGTTAGTTTTAATTGATCTTGGTGAATTCTTCCCTGAGGTGTCGTTATCGTTATCATTATCATTATTCACTTTTGACACGGTTGGTGTAACAACAACACGTGACCATGGATCTGGTGGTACTATTGGCCAGTCGGAGAGATCTCGATAACCAGATACACGACGATGAAGTATATGCGATAATGTACCTAATCGATAGTTGGATTTATCTAAAAAACGAAAAGGAGCGCAAAGGGGAAAACAACACACCGAGGTATTGTTGGGGAAGTAGATATGAAAAGACACCACATAAACAAGTGAAGGAAAATGAAACAGTCGTTCCTAATTTATAATAATAAGAGAAATAAGGCGGATACGCTTGACTAAACTTTTAGGTTCAATAATCATACGTTGACTAAGTTGTAGCTCGACCCTTTCGCGATGTCTTCGGCTAGTATTTGTCCTCACACCTGACCTGATGTAGCTTACTGGTCAAGACTTCCCACTAGAACCCCAGGTAACTACCTACCTGAATAGGGCCAGTCGCTAGTGAGCATCTCATTGATATTCAAATATTGGTTGCGCTATATCGTGAATTGGCAGAAGTTAGAATTCATGAGCCATTGAATCGGGTCCAAATGGCTTAATGGTATACGAGCTCGCTAGCCTTTTAACCAGAAGGTCCTAGGTTCAAACCCCGGTGGGTGGGTACTGCTGAAGAGTCTCAAACTAGGACGAAACAGCTGTCTAGTACTCCCAGGTTTTCCAATGGTTCTCTAACTGATGTCAGCTCATGATGAAATCCTGCAACTAATTGTCATGTATCTTGACCTCTTCATTAACCGAGAGGTGATATGACAATGTTTGGTCGCGAATGGAGTGCCAAGCAAGTATGTCGCACTAATCAAAACACTCTACTTGAATCATGCCACCGTATACCCGCTTATAGAGAAGTGTCATCTGAAACAACAACAACCAGCAGTGTACATCAAAGATGTCCACTGTCCTCACTTATGTACTAATGGAATTGGCCCTAAGTGAGATTCAGTGACTAACGATTTGACTTTTTACCAGGGTACCGCCTTGCTGACTTAGAGTGGCCGGGTGATATTGTCCTGCTGTCTGTCTGTCTGGATTCAACATAGAACTTGGCACCGAAGTGCACCAGTTCGAGTTGCCACGTTCCAAATAGCACACAGAGGTAGACAAGAAGATGAGTGGAGAGAATTAATAGAGTTTGACAAATATAGGAGTGAAACAGAATGGGTAATGGTAGAAAGGAATATGAAAGATTACAGAGATTGAATACATCTGCGCCATTGACAACGATTTTGAGCCATGTCACCTATTGTCTCCAGCCATTGATTCCTAGAGTCCCGAGGGCCCCAACCCGGGAGTCTGCATCTCCCTACCTGACTCAGTTTAACTGTCAAGGATTTCATGGATTGATGCCATGTTTTTGTTTGGCCACCACTGGCTCTTTTCCAACCTGAACCTATATCAGCTAACAATGCCCGTCGGGGGAGGCGGTGGTTAGGCATGCGCACCACGTGACCTAGCCATCTTAGTCTATGTAACTTTATAACCTCGTCGATTGATTTTCCCTCTTTACCCAACACTCTACGCCTAATGTCAACATTACTTATCTTGTGAAACCACCTAACGTGAGACAGAGATCGCAGACATCTATGATCGAAAGCAGTCAACCTTTTCATGTCTTCAACGCGTATTGGCCATGTTTCAGAGCCATAGAGAAGGACGGAGCGAACTGATGAGCAGTACACACGTCCCTTGGTTGATAACCGGATGTCACGCCTACCCCAGAGATGGTGTAAGTCAGCGAAAGCAGCTCGAGCTTTTCGGATCCGTGCTGAGATTTCATCGCCAATCAGTCCGTTGGTGCTAATACAACTTCCCAAGTAGGTGAAGTGGTCAACATGTTCTATCACTTCACTCCCTATCACTAAGTTAGGGGTTGACGGCGTCCAGTCCTGTAGCAGCATCTTACATTTTACAGGGGCGAATCGCATGCCAAACATACGAAGATTGCTGCTCAAGGTGTTCAGAAGACTCTGTCCTGCTAGGTGAAGACGCTGACAAAATCCAGCAGAGTCTTCTGAAAATTTTGTGCAGAAAAATCCTGGAATGCTTGACATGTGATTCGCTCCTTTTAAATAAAAGATGAGACTGCAAAACATAGTGAAGTGGCTAAGTCTCTTAATCCCTTCAATTTATTTAGTAAGCTGCAATAGACTAATTTCTATAGAAATCTAATACTCGTGTGCCACTTACCAACTTACATCGTCTCTACCAAAGACGTCATATCCTGCGTAATAGCCCACTCGGTATTGCTTTATGCCTGCAAGACATGGCGATTGCATGTTAGGTTAGAAGGGTAAATCAATCGCGATAACATTTTAAAGCTAAATCGATTGAAATGGCCAGGACACATGTTGTGCACGTAGAACTACCGGTTTCCTCAACAAGTAATTTTAAATGATATTGGAAAAGAGTTATGTGTAGTCAAAGCAAAAACCTGATATCAATCCATGAAGTCTTCGGCAGTAGATTTTGAGCCAGTCACGAAAGGGAGGTATAGTGTGCCTAATAGAGATCCTCAGAATACTAAGGACTAAAGGTTGAACAGTGTCGATAATATTGGTTTGAAACCGCTATTTTCACTGACACAGTTGCATTCACTTTTTGTAATCTCCTAGATACACTGAGTTCAGTTCATTTGAATTTCGTTTTTTGTCTTCAAATGAAATTCAGTTTTGCATTAACAAAGGTTACGTAACCACACAGAGTCTGTCTGTCTGTTTTCGACATAGAACTTTGCACAAATAAGCACCAGTTCAAGTCACCACACTCCCTCCAGGTAGCACACAAAGAAAGAGAAGAAAGTAGAAGAAATGCATACTAGAGACGGTAAACAGAGGTGTGAGACAAAGGAATAGTAACAACGAAGAACAATATAGTTTCATTGTAAATTATAAGTCATAGCGAGTGGATGCATCTGCGACATCCATTGAGAACGATTTTGAGCCATATCACCAATTGTTTCCAGCTTTCATTGGTTTTCACCGTCCCGAAGACCACAACCAGTCAGGAATTCTACACCTTCCTACGTGACTGGCTTAAACTAACTGTTGTAGGTTTCATTGACTGGTGACATGTTTTTGTTTGACCTCCGCTAGTTATTTTCCAGCCTGCCCTTATGTCAGCTAACATTGCTCGTCGAGGAAGGCGATGACTAGGGATGCATGCGTAACACATGTCCGAACTATCTCAGTCTATGTAGCCCCACAGCTTCGTCGATTGATTCCCCTAGCACTCGACCGAAGCCTAACCTCAATATTGCTTACCCTATTATACCACCACCTGAAGCAAGGCAGAAAGAACGCAGGGACCTATGACCAAAGACAACTAATCTTTTCATGCATTCCACTCTCAATGGCCAGGTCTTACAGCCATAAAGGAGGGCGGAGTGGACTGATGAGCAGTACACCCGCCCTTTGGTCGATAGTCGGATATCTCGTCTACTAAGCCAGAGACGGCATAATCTGGCATAGTCGAAACTAGCCCTCTGTATCCTTGCTAAGATTTCGTCAGAGATCAACCCGTTGGAGTTGGCTGATGGTACTTCCCAAATAAGTGAAGCAGTCACCGTGCTCTGCCACTTCACTCCCCATCTCTAAACTAGGAGTCAGCGTAGTCCAGTCCTGTAGCGTCATCTTGCATTTGGTGGGAGCGAATCGCATGCCAAATATTCGAAGATTGCTGCACAGCTCAAGATGTTCACAAGACTCTGCATTTTGTCAGTGTCTTCGCCTAGAAGGACTATATCGTCTGCATATTCTAAGTCAACAAGATTATTGCCTGGTAGCAAGTCAATCCCTGAGTCTCTGAAGTGAGTTAGGGTTAAGTCCATTAGTACATCTATGATGAAATTGAATAGAAATGGGGATAATGGGAATCCCTGACGGACACCACTAGTTGTCGCCACTTCAGGTGACAATTCGTCACCACACAGAGTAAGAAAAACTAGGGAGTATTGAGCAACACAAACCTCAATATATACGGACACTAAGATTCACATCCAGATAATAGGTAGGAATCCCGGAGTTACGTATTTAATTGTCTTCATATTCACTATACTGAATCTACTAGGTATGATATGTCATCAGTGTATTGTATACTGATGTTACTTGCACAGAGCTGGGAAGTTTGATGTGTGAGAATTTACCAATTATAATAAAGACATATATGTTCCATTGTTCAAGCTTGGGATGTGAAGTTTCAGTGTCTGGGATGTTGTGTGTTTATAGGACGCGGTTGCTAACCATACGCCCGACCTCCCCTCTTTATTCGGCTTACTAGTGGCTGAGAGAGCTTTTGCAGTGTGTTGATTGGAAATCGAACCTGGACCAGGACCAGGTGTGATGTGGTTAACAAGCATTCTGTCTGTCTGTTTTCGACATAGAACTTTGCACAAATGTGCGGAAGTTCAAGTCGCCACACTCCGTGTAGCACGCGAATCAAGAGAAGAAAGTACAAGAAAAGCATAATAGAAACAGTGAGCAGAGGTGTGAGACAAAGGAGTAATAAAGAAATACAAAACAGTTTCATTGGAGATCATAAGTCACAGGGAGTGGATGCATCTGCGCCACTGAGAACGATTTTGAGCCATGTCACCAATTGTTTCCAACCATAGATTTTTACCGTCCCGAGGACCCCAGCCTGGAAGTCTACACCTTCCTACGTGGCTTAGACCAACTGTTGTGGATTTCATAGACTGGTGAGGCCAAGTTTTTGTTTGACCGCCGCTAGCTTTTTTCCAGTCTGACCCTATATCCGCTAACATTGCTCGTCGAGGGAGGCGATGGCTTGGCATACGTAACACATGTCCTAACCATCTCAGTCGATGTAGCTTCACGACTTCGTCGATTGATTTCCCCTGTTTACCTAGAACTCTACGCCTAACCTCCATGTTGCTCACCTTATTATGCCACTTTACACGGGAAATAGAACGCAGGCACCTATGATCAAAGACAGCTAGTCTTTTCATGTCTTCCACTCTGAGTGGCCAAGCATTCTACCTTCGAACCACTAATGTACTCATCTGCTAGAATATGAGCCACACTTTATGTCACGCCTAATAATACTGTCCAGTAGGACAAGTTGAAGTAAGTGAGGGATGGGAGTTGGGATTCGAGACTGAGGCACATAGGTTGGAGTACCACATTTCTACTTATTATAATAACTGTTACCATTATCATTGTAACCTACAGCAGCCAACAAATGATCATAAGCTGATAATCATGTTACTAATGGTGAATGCAGTGTGTAAGTTCTCTGTCCATTTCAAGAGCTGCTTTCTGCCGATCTGATTTAACTACTTCCAAACGTTTAATGTCGTCAAGGTTAACGGCATGATGTCAAGGATGAGGTCAAGTTAAGGGTTAAGAAGTAGATTAGGGTAACGGCAGAATTGTCCTACTAAGCAATCTAAACATTTAAATATACCAAACCAGATTTCATCATGAACTAACACCAGTTATGTAGATGGTTGAAAACCAGGGAGTACTGAACGGCTGTTTCGTTCTCGTTTGAGGTTCTTCAGCAATACGCACACACGACACCATCAGGAACTAGGCTCGTTGACCATTCAGCCACTGTGAGGGGGAGGGGGGAATTCAAAGACCCATAAATTCTAACATCTATCAATTAGTGACATAGTGCTACCGTCGTTAACCATCTGCTTTGATGAGCACCCCAACGTCAGCTTGACATGGTGAACTTAACAGTGTAGCTTTGGGATATCCATCTAGTAGCTCTTATTGTCATGAAATGTTGACCGGCTTCGTTTTGTAACCCTTAGGTCCTAGGTGAGGTGTTCTGGTTGCGAACCCAGACAGACAGACAGAACCCATCATCTCGTGAAAGGAAGCACCACCGCCACTGAAACTTTAAGCGTGAGGCCCTCTATGTGTCACTCAAAACGCGAAGGGATGAAAAAAAAGTTAATCCATAAATGTTTCAGTAATGCATAGAAAAAGTTTATCGAGGGTAGAATCAAATAGGTGGTTACAAGATGAAATAAACTAACTACAACTGCTATGACTACCACTCACCTTCAAATTGTGATTTAATTATTGGTGCTGGTTTAGTAGCCAAACAAATTTTACGAAGATGTTTTGATAAGTATAAATTATTATTATTTGTATTATTGCTACCTGATTTAACCGAACTCTTCTGATTACTGTTCACCGATGCACCATCTCCATTTACATTGGGCTATAATCCAAAGAGAAGTAGAATACAATAAGAAAGGGGGCGTCATATTATACAACAAAAATAAGAGTTTGGTTTGTAAGGGTTAGTTTTGTTCTTACCAGTTGATCACGGATTGATATCAGTTAAAGAACCTTTGAAAACCATCAGGGAGTGCTGGACAGCCAGCTGTTCCATCCTAGTCTCTTGGGAATCATCGGCAGTACGCACCCACCAGGACCTTCTGGTTATAAGGCAAGCACGTGACCAACTCGTAAAATAAACAAAACTGACCCTTACAAACCAAACTATAGAAAATTAGTCTGATGCTCGCTAGTGACTTGCTACAGGATGAAGTTTCCTGATGTTCTAGTGAGAAGTCGTGACCAGTGAGGTCCATCTAGATGTCACGTGTGAGGATGGATGTCCCACCTACGACATTAGTTCGGGTGGCGCTAAATCACGAGGTGGTAGAAGTTAGAATTCATGGGTCCCAGTGGCTGAATGGTATACGAGCCAGCTTGCCTTGTAACCGGAAGGTCCTGGGTTCAAACCATGATGGTGGGTGCGAACTTCCGATGGTTCCAAAACTAGGATGAAACAGCTGTCCAGTACTCCCTGTGGCTGGTTTTCAGTGGTTCTCTAGCTGATATCAATCCGCGATCAACTCGTTAGAAAAAATAAGAGCAAAATATGTACAAAAACTGCGAGATATATACAGCGAAAATCGCTGAGTGAAAACGGTTATTGAGAAAAGTATGTTATGAATTTAACGCAAAGCCAAGCCAAGTCAGTTCCAAAGAAATGATTACAGTGCCTTGGTGATGACATCAGTAAAATAATCACACAACTGCCTGCCAAAAAAATTCCAGTAAAGAGAGTGTTCAGTGCATAGCAGTAGTACACTGTCTCTTCATGGCCACTCCGATTTTACATTCGACAGATAAGGATATACTGTAACAACAGAGGACAAGGGATAGACAGCAGATCGTTTATTAAGGAAATAAACACATATTTACACATTTTCATGTACATTATTATATATTATTGTAAGCAAACAAACACAGTCTTCTGATTGGTGGTTTCTCGCTGAACGTTAATCTTTCATCTCTTGTGACTGTTTCTTGAAGTTCAGATTACCTATCTGCAAATTGTATCCGCCTACGCAAAGTCTACTGTGATTGGTTGTACAGTCAGTCTTTGTTCTTATTTTTCTCACTTATGACCAATATTAAGGACGTACACATTGACGTAAATTACTATGTACCAATTTTGGCTAGCAGCCAGCCCTCACCACAATAGTGTTGAATTTCGTCAGTTTGACTGCTCCAGCGAAGCCAATTACAGTTAGCGTATAATTAGGTATGATCATCCTTGGATTACTGAAGTATTAGTTAGCATGACTACAGAGCCCATAGAACAACAGCTTGAGGCCAGTTACGCATGGTCCGTTTAAAGTGGAATTAAGAATTGTGTTCGTACAACGATCTTACCGCCGACTACAGAGCACCGTAAAGTAGACCGGAATGCATTATTTTCAGGGTCGACCTATTCTAACCCACTCTCTCCTCATACCGCAGAGGCAGTAATAGCTGACGTGTTGGTCGTCCGAGGGAAATACTCTACTGCTGTTGCATCCCTATTCCTCGGTAGCACCACTTCGCCCTAAGAACCCCAATTACGTGTGAGTGACTAACACAATGATGGTAACTGTTTTTGATCTAAGCACTATCCAGACGACCTGCAAGAATGTGAGTTCTGGTGATTTCTATATGTAAGTCCGACTACCATGTCAGGGTAGCAGCTATCGATCGAGAAAAGTTATAACTCGCTGGACTCATACCTACCACCCCAATAGTAATTAGATGCTCAGTTTGCAATCAGACTATCAATAACATGAATTATAGGTGTAAAGTGACGGTTAGTTTTATACTGTTGTACCAGACGACTATCTATCCATCTTCTCTTAATTTTCAACAACTCTCTATCACAAATGGAGGCTTTTAACAAATTTCACCTTAATAATAATAATAATAATTGAATTTTAATGAACCTAAGCAACCGTTGAATACGTATCATTTGCTTAAAAATTCATAACATTACATAAATATATGACCCAATAAACAACCTAGTACGACTGACAGTGAGTAGACTTCGATCTCCTTCTCGAAATGTACTCCTCATGTGGCCACGCGTTCATAGTTTCTGCCAGATAAGTCGTATTCACCGTCCTTAAGCCACAGCTGGGGTGTTCCTCACAAGAGTGAAAGAGTGGAGAAGAAAGTCCGGAGCTTACAACCAGACCGATCAACATGCATTTCTACTGTGGAGAGCTGAAAAACCCTGGTTCTAAACACATATAGGGTTCATGGGCTCTTGAATCCAAAAAGAACCTCTTTCCCATAATGGGTAAAATTTATTTTGATAAGGTCTCACAGAGTGTTATACACTGATATTAACTGATGACCACATTTCGAGCACTATTTATTGCTCATAATCATATCAAGGTAATCACAAGACTTCCTAACTTCATTTATATAGTTCCATTATTTCTCATCTTTTAATTTTATTTGTAGTAGTATTCTTCATATTTACAGTGTGAGTGATGAGTCATTCCTGTTGTACGTGTTGTGTTGGGTGTAGACTCGATGAACAAGGATTCAGTAATCAACCTCTCTCCCTCTCCATTTACCTAGATTACTTTTTAGAGTTTTAACCCTCTCCCGCCACCCTATTGTGTGGTTGTGTGTTAATGCATGCAGTGCTACTGCTGAGCCTTTTTTATAAATTACTTACCTTCGTGGGTGGGGTCAACCATTCTTACCTTATCGAAAAATAAGAATTTAGCTAAGGTAAGAATGGTTGACCCCACCCACGAAGGTAAGTAATTTATAAAAAAGGCTCAGCAGTAGCACTGCATGCATTAACACACAACCACACAATAGGGTGGCGGGAGAGGGTTAAAACTCTAAAAAGTAATCTAGGTAAATGGAGAGGGAGAGAGGTTGATTACTGAATCCTTGTTCATCGAGTCTACACCCAACACAACACGTACAACAGGAATGACTCATCACTCACACTGGAAATATGAAGAATACTACTACAAATAAAATTAAAAGATGAGAAATAATGGAATTTTATAAACAAAGTGAGAAAGTTGTGTGAGTGAGTAGTACCTTGACATGATTATGAGCAGTAGTAATAAATTGTGCTCGAAACGTAGTATAACAATGTGAGACTTTAACAAGATAAATTTGACCCATAATGGAATTATACTCTACCGCCAAAGTGCACAAGTTTTATTCTTATGCATCAAGAAAACTGTTTTGGTCACCGTAAACCAACGGAACGTAACTCCTACCTATGATCCACTGTCTTGTGGGTCAGACTTCAAGTCTCGGAGGGGGACAGTGGCCCATCGAGATAACCAATTGCTTCGTGTCTTGCCATTCGAACAGAAGTACCCCCAAAAGACCTCAAACAAACGTTGAGATTTTGTGTGACTCACCACCCCTTGGTGCCCATAATGTACCAAGGTTTCATCTTTATAATAATAATAATAATAAAGCATTTTTTTCAAAAAATGAGCATAACTCACATTGTTTATAATTTGTGGAAATAATAATCCTCTTAGGAAACGTGCTTTATCACGTATATCATAATTGGTATCATATTTAGCCAAGTTGAATACATACTGGGCTAGAATATGCGTTTGACGTGGATTTACAATACACAATTTCGCGGCTAAATTAATTATCTGTAAAACACCAAGAAAATAAAAGAAGAAAAGAATCAAATTTGTCGATTTGCAATTTACATGGAGGATTTCATCATGAGCTGACATCAGTTAGAGAGCCATTGGAAAACCAGCTGGGAGTACTGGACAGCTGTTTCGTCCTAGTTTGGGACTCTTCACCAGTACGCATCCACCACCAGCGCTCGAACCCGGGATCTTTTGGTTACAAGGCGAGCTCGGAGACCATTGAACAACTGGGATCCTATCCAATGGCCCACGAAATCTAACTTCTGCCAATTCATGACATAGCGCGACCCCTAGCCAATATTCTTGGCGAGTATTTGTCCTCACACCCGAACTGCTGCACTCTGCTGGTCACGACTTCTCACGGAGGACCAATAGGGTGCAACAGTTCGGGTGTGAGGACAAATACTCGCCGAGAATATTGGCTAGGGGTCGCGCTATGTCATGAATTGGCAGAAGTTAGATTTCGTGGGCCACTGGGTCAGGTCCCAGTGGCCTAATGGTATACGAGCTCGCCTTGTAACCAGGAGGTCCTGGGTTCGAGCGCTAGTGGTGGGCGCGTACTGCTGAAGAGTCCCCAACTATGCTGACGAAACGGCTGTTCAGTACTCCCTGTACTTAAGAAAAGTGGAACAATATTTCTGTTTTGAAAAGTTTACACAGTTTTTCCCACTTATAAATTTTGAAACAAAAAAGACACTACTACAGATTCGCATAACACCTAATCTTTAGACGGTTGGAAGCAATCAGCCACAGGAAGCCTCGACTAGACCCAGGTTTCGTGTTTGTTGGCACTAACCAGTCAGCAGAGCGTATTTGAAACCTTCAAGAAACTCATGTCCCTTCTGAAATTCGAACCCGCATCACCCAGTGCTGCAGTCGGAGACGTTACCACTGAGCTATTCGGGCTCGCGATTAACCTCCTGTACAACTGCAGTGGATATTTTCATTTGAGACTAGTAACTAGTGTGATGACCTACGTCACTTAGGACCAAGGCTTCCTGCCGATTGCCTCCAACCATCTAATGCCATTAAATCAATGTGCACCGTGATGGCGAGCTACCTAGTGGCATGGTGGCCACATTACAAATCTGACTGATAGAATTCAGTCTGCACCAAAGAAATAACTAGACACATCACACTAATGTCAAATCAGAAGTCAACATGGACGTAACCATGATAGTACAAGTGGTTGGATGATTTTCTTTTGTATACATAACTCTGGTTTCTCCAACTGAATGCCTAAGGCTTCAGTAATACAAAGGAGGTTTGTTGAGATGGAACGACCAGTGTTGACGAGATTTCCGATTATCGCATTCCTTATAGATACACTATTACCTCTCTGCAGCCATGGAGGATAGTGTTTTTCAACCCTTTTGGACAGGATACACATCGAAAGATCAATCAATGTACGTGACTGGCTCCACTGCTACAGGGGTGAACTGATATCTGCACATGGATGTGACCAAATGCGAGATTTTGTCTCTAAGGCTTCTGTAGATCAATGAACAACTGGAGAAAACTACTCTTAGCGTTGATGAGAAGAAGAATGTTACTCTCAAAGATGCTGAAATTTTTCTCTTGAGGATATTATCGCTCGGAAGCTAAGTCTCCCTTGAAAACCAGATTCAGCTAAAGTATCTTTTTCGAAACAAGTGATATTTCTCTCCTTTAAACCTTTGATTTGATAATCTTTTCGACGAATCATCTTAGTGGGTATTCATTTCGGACGACGGTTTCTTTCAGAAGATCCAGTTTTGCTTCCAGGGCATCAGGATTGCAAATGGCAAGGGTATTTAATCAGATTTCGTTTCCGTTCAACAGGTAACCAACCAACTATAAAAACTTGTTAGTTGACCGTTCCAAGTGGGTTTTCTAAGGATTAACTCTCTTGTTAGTTGAACATCAAGAAAGGGAATTTTGGATTTGTATTCCATTTCCAGTATGTAATTTTTATTGCCGGATAACAGTTACTGAATATTTGTAGCAGCTGACCAAAAAAATGTCATCTACGTATTTTGCAAATTGTCAATAGAGGACTTGAGTAGGCTGTGATCAAGGTTAGTAGTGATAAAACAGTCTGCTAGTAATGAATCTAAAAGAAATTTCATTGCAATACCCTCCCCTTTTGTCTGCAGATGGTGTCATAGTAAAAAATTGTAAAGTAATTAAATTGTACATTGATAGTACACCTTAGCAGCGATTCTCTCAGACGTATTGTTGGTATTCTCTAATGTTGAACTGGTTGTCATCTCTGTATTTACATATAAAAGGAACAGATTCGCTAAGTGAGACTTTGTTGAACAATGATTCAACGTGGAAAGATAGAATACTTTTGTTAGTAACATTCATATCTTGTATACAGTCGACGAACTGGAAGGTTCATGAAAAATTCCTATTCGAATATAAATAGAGACAGAAGACCCAGTTCAGCGAAGAGTCTCTTTTCGGCGAATTCATTTTCATAGCTGTACAACCACTGATCTACAAAGCCCAAAGGACAAGATCCCACACCTGACCACTTCTATGTGTATATATCAGTTCACCTGTTGCTGTGGAGCCAGCCAAGTACATCGGTCGTTCGACGAGCATCCTGTCAAAAAAGGTCAAAGAACACTATCCAGAGTGGCTGCAGAAAGGAAGTAATGAATGAATAAGGAGTGGAATAATCCAACAACTCGTCAACACTGGTCATTCCATCTCAACATATGTCTCCTCCTTCAAATTAATCTACAAAGTGAAGAACAACACGCCAAAGCCAATATGTTTCCGTCTTCTTTTGCATTGAAGAACCCCTGGCCATTCAGTTAGAAGACCCAGAATTATGCATACAAAAGAAAATTATTCAACCACTTGTACTATCATGGCAAAAACTCTGCTGATTTGACTTAACTCTTGTTTGTATGCTTATTTTTCTAACTACTTAAAAGCCTTGTGTAATTCCGTACATTACTTTGTTTCCTTGTACACCCTGAGCACAACTCTTTCATCAAATTATTCACATTATTACGAAACTCTTCTTTAACAATCGTTTGTGAAAACTCATCACTTTTGTTACTACCCTCTTATATTAACATCCAATCCACCCGGACTTACTAATTGTAATTTCGTTTGACAAATTTAATGTACACACACATACAAAACAACCATGCATATATTTGCGATTGTACAGCTATGAAAATGAATTGGAAGGTATCGGCGAAGCCGGTATATGCACAGATGTCAGTCAGCCAGTCATCTTACAACAAAATAATCGTAGAGTGGGCCAAAAAAGACTCTGGAGAACAGATTAAAATAGAGATATCCTATATATTCCCCTCGGAACCCAAGAGAAACATAATAAGAAAAAGGTGCAAACAGCGAAGAAAATTTTCTTTTCGACGATTCATTTTCATAAGCTGCTGTACAATCGTAATTATAATTAACAAAGAAATTTTTAGACCAATCAGATACTGGTAAACTTTGTCCTTGCCCAGCTTGGTTAGCCAGAGGAAAAAAGTAGAATAACAACAGCTCGATCCTCGAACACCTTGTCATCTCTGGAAATCGAGCACCCCACTTGCATGAATTCTTCACAGTGTTACACAGAGTCCCTCAATATCGTATAAAGGGACTTCATATACGCCATCTGTATACAGCTGAAGCATTAGCTATTCAAGATCTGAAACTGGACCTCTGTATTCAAAAGTGATACATACATTCTCTTGCCCTACCGTGGCCAGAGTAAAGTTCTTACTACAATTTGCTTCTTTTCTTTATTATGTAAGTTCAATATTATGATTATTAGCAATAATTTTATTATCATTATTATTCCCATCATCCACATTTTAGTACCACTCTATTATTGTTTATTAATAACATTGCTTTTTCATACAGATTTTATACAAAAAAACACTATAGAGCCTTTCCACTAGAGGTTTCTGTCCATTTCACACGAGCTTATTGATTAGTCATTATCTCACACTTATTACGTCATGCCAATTTCTGTCTCCTTTCTAACTTAAAATTAGTCATCCCTTCTTACACCTTACATTATGTAAAACCATTGTTCAAGGACAAAGTTGACCAGTATCTGATCATACTATCGACAAGTAGATGGAATAGCTATGGGTTCACCATTAGGCCCAATATTAGCTGACTTCTTTCTCGCAAAACTTGAAAACGGGAAATTGAAGGATACCATCAAGGAGTTGGATATGTATTACCGATATGTCGATGATACATTTATCTTAGCTGATGAGAAGGTTAACACAGACGAATTGTTAATTAAATTCAACAACATCCACCCTTCGCTTACCTTTACTTGTGAAGAGGAGCAGGAGAATAAACTACATTTCCTGGATGTCTTGCTAAGTAGGAGAGAAGATGGGTCACTTGGGAGAAGTGTGTACAGAAAAGTACATTCACAGGGCAGTACACACACTTCCTTAGTTACGTGCCCATTAAATATAAAATGAATCTTGTAAAATGTCTCGCGAGCAGAGCAAGGAAGATATGTACAGAGGACCTCTTACAAAAGGAATTTGAATATATTCACGATTCCTTGACGGAGATGTGTTATCCGAGTAGTTTCATAAAGAAACATATGAAACCATCGGAGAAGAAACCTGTGACTCTGACTGCACATAAGAAACCTCTATTTATTAAGTTACAATTTAATGGGGACTTATCTAGTGAGATTCTATTCCAAAGACTTTCAAGGAGCATACGTAGAACATTTTACGCAGCACACCTATGTTTGTCATTCTCTAGCCGACGAATGATTGGGACGCAAACGAAGGATAAGCTTGTTAGTTTTGCCACATCTATGTGTAAGTATCTGATTGGTCTAAATATTTTTGTTAATTATAATAACGATTGTACAGCTCATGAAAATGAATCGTCGGAAAGAAAATTTTCTTCGCTGTTTACGCCAGAAATATACTAGTCAGAAAAACTAAACCAGCCACTATGTATGTGTAAGCGCACTAAATATGAAAAAGGAATTAAAGGTCAAGTAGAAATGATTATTGATTTATTTATTTAGTCAAAGCAAAAACTGGCGCAGAATTATGCTCCTGTCCATCCCAAGCAAAATACTAAGCCGCATCATCCTGCAGAGAATCAAACACACCAACCTGGATGGAAAACTTCGACTGAAACAAGCTGGATTCAGGAGAAACAAGTCATGTATTGATCAAATCGCCACACTACGGATCATCATTGAACAAAGCTTGAAATAGCAGTCACCTCTCCACCTCACTCAACTTCATCGACTTAGAAAAAACCTTCGACAGCGTCAGTCAACAGGTCATTTGGAAACTACTTCGCTAGTACCAAGGGGTGCCATCGACAATTATACATCTCATCCAACAGTTATACGACAACGCGGCATGACAAGTAATACACAACGAGAAACTTACGGAATCCTTAGTAGTGAAGACGGTAGTGAGGCAAGGCTGTCTACTGATTGCAGTAGATTGAATAATGCGACAGACAGCGGGCCAGAAAGTGAGGAAACAGGCATAAAATGGACTCACACAAAAAACTTGGGGGATCTGGACTTCGCCGATGATATACATCTGATTTCCCACAAACTGGAAGATATGCAAGTGAAAAGTAACAAGTTGACAAAAGAAGCATCTAGAGAAGATAGGACTTCACGTGAACATAGAACAGACAGAGGTGATCAAGATTCCAGGAGAACATCAATAACAACAACAGACAACAATCAACATAAATGGGAGAAATCTGAAAGAAGCAACCTCCTTTACGCGCTACCTACCTACCTGGGAAGCATTGTTTCAATTACCGACAGAACTGACGAGGATATCAAAGCAAGAATCGGGAAAGCAAGACAAACTTTCACTACTCTCAAGTCTGTGTGGAGGTCAACTGCACTACTCAATATCAAAAATAACATCCGGATTTCCAACTCCAATGTGAAGTCAGTCAGTGCTGCTATGCGGATGGCTCAGGGACTTGGCGCGTCATGAAGAGCATCTCAAACAAAAACAAGGGATTTTCATCAACAGCTAGCTGTCTTCGCTCAATACTCAAGATCATATGGCTGGCCTGAAGAGATCAGGAACAGGGAGGAATCTCTGGCAATGAGCGAACCAACCCAGCAGGAAGCGACTGTGAAAGAATTCTGCAGGAAGTAATGGAGATGGATTGGCCATACTCTGAGGAAACCACCAAGTGAGTGAAATCACTAGACAAGCCATCGCTCGAGTGGAACCCGAAAGGGAAGCGGTGAGTTGGTGGTCAGTGCGAGGGTGACTTGGCGGAGATCATGTGAAGAGGAGATGAATGCGTGTGGGCAGACTTGGAGTGGGGTGAAAAAGTTGGCAGAGAACCGAAGGCAATGGAGACGCGCAACTGAATCCCTATGTTCCTCTAGGAATTAAAGGATACAATAATAATAATAAATAATAATAACAGAAATTATTTTTTATTTTGCTAACCTGGAACTTCACTACAGCTTCTTGTTGTGAAAAAGATTTAGCCATTTTCCGCAGGATATCAGGAGCAATTTTTGGGACACGATGACTAAATTCACCCAATAACCAGAGAATTGATGCTAAAGCTGTTGGAATTGTCATAGTATCCGCCAACTGTGCTATATGGGTGATAATCTCTTTATGATCAGTTGTCTATAAACAGCAGCAACAACAAAAACAAAGGAAAAGAGAAAAACTTTGTAGTGAAGATTACGATGAAAAAGGCTTCAGTCGAGATGAACACTGAGAGCCACACGCGCAGTTAAATCATCTACAGTTCAAAGAGAAGGCAAGCACATTAGAAAAACTTCACCCATAAATAATTATTGTGTGAAATAGTGTAACGACAGAAAACAAGGGTCAGGAAACAGATAGTTTATTGAGAAAATCAAGAGGATATTTATAGATTTTTATGTACATTATTGTTAGCAAAGTAACGTCTTCTGATTGGTTGTTCTCTTGCTCGAAGTTATTCTGTACTGCTTGTGATTGTTTCTTTGAAAGTTCAACTACATATGTAAGAATTGTATTTGCACACGTTGAGTCTTCTGTGATTGGCTGGTGAGTTCCTCAAGGTTAAGCTTTGTTACTGTTTTTTTTCTCATGATCCCTATTAGGACGTGAAACACTCACGTGAATTGTTGTCTACAATTTTCGCTTGCAGACAGCTCTTATCACAATGGAATTCTGGTGATGTATGCGAGACAGTGATTAAAAGTGGATTCTAATACATACGCACATACATTACGTCATGTCTCGAAAACACAACAAGTATAAATGCTTGCCAAGATCTTATTGCGATTACAAAAATGAGTACTTCAGGCTTGAGAGCATTGAGGCTTCAGTAGACCTGATGTTAGCTAGTCTTCTGCCCAACTGTCCCTCTTTTCCCGGTTTACTATCGACTAGTAAACTGACTGAGACTAAGCGGAGTGTGCCAACTGGGAATCGAACCGCGGACCACTAGCATGGTTGACGAGCATTCCTACAACTGAATCACCTGCGTTTTAGTATAGAATATAAGTTTCCAAGTGAGAACATAAACATTCATTTAGGTTCAAAATTACACTGAGGACTGAATATATAACTCAATTCTATCGCTAATTATGACCGCTTTTTGAACAGAAGAACGCTACCCACTTCCTAAAGATACTCGTTGGTGCATCAAAAAGAAAGAAGAGCAAGTAGTTCAGGGAAGAGTGGCTGTACAGTCGCACTGATATCTCTGTCTGTCTGTTTTCGACATAGAACTTTGCACAAATGTGCGGAAGTTCAAGTCGCCACACTCCGTGTAGCACGCGAAGCAAGAGAAGAAAGTACAAGAAAAGCATAATAGAGACAGTGAGCAGATGTGTGAGACAGAGGAATAGTAATAACGAAGAACAAAACAGTTTCATTGGAGATCATAAGTCACAAGGAGTGGATGCATCTGCGCCACTGAGAACGATTTTGAGCCATGTCACCAATTGTTTCCAACCATTAATTTTTACCGTCCCGAGGACCCCAGCCTGGAAGTCTGCACCTTCCTACGTGGCTTAGACCAACTGTTGTGGATTTCATGCCGGATCGGCCGTGGCCCGGATTAACAACGACCGCGCTTCCTGCTGCCGTGTCACAGGGCAAGAGTGATAAGTATGCTACTGAGGCACACCAAACAGAAGAGAACAAACAAAAACAGGCCGCGTGTGACCGGCCTCAAGCAGTTGTCCCCTGGGCTCTGCGGTCACGCAACCAACTTCCACAGTGTGGGCAGCCGGGAAGTAACAATCGCCCTCACAATCCGAAACGCACGCGAAACCTCTCTACTACTCACTCATCTTTGTTTTCATCTTCATCTCTATCATCTTGCCTTCCTTCCACTGATGCAACTCCTCGACTTGATAGCTCTCCACTTCCTCTCCACTCTGCGTCGCACTGATATACAGGTTTCTTCTGGTAAGCATGTACATTGAATTGACCAAAGTCGTTAATTGCCCGTGGAAGTAAGGAATATAAAAGTTAGGAAACAACTTTCATCATAAGTTAACCAAACGTTAAAAGAGTACCAACCACCAGTGAATAGTGAAAACTAATTAAAATACAACAAAGAAACGTATAAAAACTAATAGGTTGGTAGAACAGGTTACGTAATAACTAGGAGTCTTTTAGTAAATCAAACATAAGATGTAGACAGGAAGATACGGACAAATAAAATGCCAATTAAGAGATGAGCAGAACAAATTGACTAACTATTGATATGAGTATAAAACTTGGGCACTGTGGTAGACTATAACTCCATTATGGATAAGATTTTATTTTGATAAATCACACAGTGTCGTACAATTATATTAACTGATGACCACGTTTCGGGCACAAACTATTGCCACTCATAATCATATCCATCTAGCCCACAAGGAAAGACAAAAGAGATGATCCAATAGAATGATAATCAGCAGAAATTTGAGGGAAAAACAGTAGGGTTCAATGGATATCGCAGATTACAAAAAGTGAATGCATGTGTTATCGAGAACGATTTCAAGGCCTATCATCAATAGTCTCCAGTCATTCCTTCTTAGCCAGCCTCTCGAGAACCTCAACTAGGAAGCTCTCACCTCTCTACATGGCTCAAAGTAACTGTCAAGGATTTCATGGATTGAGGTCAAGTTGAACAAAACAAAATAAGTCTTAACCACCGCTGATGTTGGGTGCATCGGTGGTTCATTCGTAGAATAGTCGCCAATCAGGCACGTGGTCTGGAGTTCATTTCCTGGCCAACGCATTCCCAAACCTGAAATAGTTTACTGACTGACTAACGGGTTTAAACGTAGAACTTTGAACAGATGTGCAGCAATTCGAATCGTCACACTTCAGTTGGCCCACAAAGCCAGAGAAGGAAGTAAAAAGAAATGCAAAATAGAGACAGTAAACAGGGATATGAGGCAAAAATAATAGTAATACCGAAGAACTATATAGTTTTCCGGGATATGATAATTCACAAAGAGTGAATACATCTGCGCCATTGAGAACGAGGATTACGGGCCGTATCATCGATTGTCTCCAGACATTGGTTTTTACCGTCAAGAGAACCCAACCAGTCAGGAAGTGTACAACATTCTACATGGCTGGCTAGCTTAAACTTACTGTTGTGGATTTCATTGATTGATGACGCCATCTTTTGGTTTGACCACCACTAGTTTCCACTTTTCTAACCTTATCTGTCCTATGTCAGCTAACATTGCTGGTTGTGGAGGAAGGCGATGACTAGACATAAGTAACAGATATCCTAACCATCTCTATCGATGTAACTAGTTTACTACAAAACAGTAAGCCCAAGGAAGAAAAGAGGTAGGTTTTGCGAGAAGCTAGCAACCTCACCCCATAAAACGCAATACTAGTGCAACTGAAACGCCAAAAGATTGAAGCCTTTTGTTCCATTCAGAAAGCGAGAAGCGAAGTAAATTAAATAAAAACCAATACCTACAAAAATTGTTGCCAATAATATTGAAAATAAAAATAAAGCCTGAAAATTGGAAACAAGAAAGAAGTGATGCACCAGCTTCTTTGGGGTGCATAGAATGTATATGAATACCACTGGAAAAGCGTTAAAGGAACTTGCTCAACTACTATACACCTCCTCTTTCCGTTTCAGCTTACTATGCTACAAACACAATGTCTCATATAGTCGTGAGAAAGCACGGATTAATTACTATCTTTTCTGTGTATCCTTTTCAGAAATCTAATGAATAAATACACTGTATCACCATCATATAAAGGATCTCTGGCAACAAACCAACCAACAACTTATTGCCAAACAAATATGCAGAAGGGTATAAAAACGGATTGGACATTCTCTTAGTGAGAAGACTAACCAGTTGAGTTTCGCTTCGAAGGTGTTTAAGTCCAATTACCCGGAACTGATTTTCATGTACCAGGCTAAGAGCAACACCCTAATCGTGCCAGTGGTGATGATGATACTAGCAAGCTGCTCACACTAAAGTACATGGGGCAGGATTCAAACTAGCAATCCATCGACAGTAAACCGAACACTTGGAACAATGAGAAACATCTATACATCGCTAGGACAGTGATATGGAGAAAATCAGGTGTAGAAGAAATGAAAGCTTATAGATAATAGTGAAGCCAGGTAAAAAAGACTGAAGAGTATAGTACACGATAGCAGCGTGCTGCTGTAGCCCTTTGTTTCACTCGGAATCCCAAAGGAATATTATATATATATATATATATATATATATATATATATATAAACCTATAAATATCTGTTGATTTTCTCAATAAACGATCAGTTTCCTGTCTTCTTGTCTTCCGTCGTCACACAAGTAGGTATCCACGATTCGTGTGATTTGAACTGATTCGACTGCCTGAACTAAGATGAACCGGGTACACTGCTGATGACCTCGACCACAAGCGACCGAAATGGCTATCCATTGTTAAGATCACTTCCATATAACTGGCTGGCTAGCTAGCTAGCTAGCTAGCTGGCCAACAAGCAATACTGGTTGATATATTGATTGATATCTAATTATTCTACTCAAACAATTATTAAGTAGTTAGTATATTCCTCAATACATTTTATCCTTGCCTTCTTGACATCTTGACCGTTGATAATGGTAACAAAGATATCAAATTATCTCTCAGTGATATGAGTAAAATTCACTTTTCAAAGGAAACTGCTGTGGTTAGAAAAGTTTCTTCTCCAAATTTGCATAAACCACAAAAATTGTAAAGTTGATATAAACTTCATTATCTTAGCCTAATTCGCGTTACCATAAATATAGCCACCTATAGATATCATGTTCACACATTATGCACATTTTTAAAGGCATTGTAAATTGAGTGTAAGTGCATTTGTTCTCAGAAGAATTAACCACCACACCACAAATTTTTAAAAAATATAACAAAGAAATCAGTCAACATAATTCATAATTTTTAAAGCAAGACAACAACATCAAACTAATAATTTAGCTTACTTGCATTTGTAATAATTTTCTCAGGACAACTACACACTCTGCCATAATTTTCTCTGAAAGAGGCAAAGAAAAAAGAAGAAATCAGAAGAGTCTCAAGGCAGTATAAGGATAGAATTTTAAGGCACTATATTACACAGAGTATAATTCAGTAATAAAGCACACAGTGAGTGCTACAGTATCACTATTATTATTATTATTATTATTGTATCCTTTAATTCCTAGAGGAACATAGGGATTCAGTTGCGCGTCTCCATTGCCTTCGGTTCTCTGCCAACTTTTTCACCCCACTCCAAGTCTGCCCACACGCATTCATCTCCTCTTCACATGATCTCCGCCAAGTCACCCTTGGACGATCACTCGCCGCTTCCCTTTCGGGTTCCACTCGAGCGATGGCTTGTCTAGTGATTTCACTCACTTGATGGTTTGTTTCCTCAGAGTATGGCTAATCCATCTCCATTACTTCCTGCAGAATTCTTTCACAATCGGTTCCTGCTGGATTGGTTCGCTCATTGCCAGAGATTCCTCCCTGTTCCTGATTTCTTCAGGCCAGCCATATGATCTTGAGTATTGAGCGAAGACAGCTAGCTGTTGATGAAAGTCTGTAGTTTGTTTGAGATGCTCTTTATGACCCCCAAGCCTCCAATCCATCCTCATAGTAGCACTGACTGACTTCACATTGGAGTTGGAAATCCGGATGTTATTTTTGATACTGAGTAGTGCAGTTGACCTCCACACAGACTTGAGAGTACTGAAAGTTTGTCTTGCTTTTCGGATTCTGGCTTTGATATCCTCGTCAGTTCTGCCTGTAGTTGAAACAATGCTTTCCAGGTAGGTAGGTAGGTAGCGCGTAAAGGAGGTTGCTTCTTCCAGGTTCCTCCCATTTATGCTGGCTAATTGTTGTCTGTTGTTGTTATTGATGTTCTCCTGGAATCTTGATCACCTCTGTCTGTTCTATGTTCACGTGAAGTCCTATCTTCTCTAGATGCTTCTTTTGTCAACTTGTTGCTTTTCACTTGCATATCTTCCAGTTTGTGGGAAATCAGATGTATGTCATCGGCGAAGTCCAGATCCCCCAAGTTTTTTGTGTGAGTCCATTTTATGCCTGTTTCCTCACTTTCCGGCCCGTTGTCTGTCTCATTATCCAATCTACTTCAGTCAGGAAAATCACTGGCGATAGTAGACAGCCTTGCCTCACCCCCGTCCTCACTTCGAAGGATTCGGTAAGTTTCCCGTTGTGTATTACTTGTCATTCCGCGTTGTCGTATAACTGTTGGATGAGATGTATTATTGTCGATGACATCCTGTGGTAGTAGCGAAGTAGTTTCCAAATGACCTGTCGATTGACGCTGTCGAAAGCCTTTTCAAAGTCGATGAAGTTGAGTGAGGTGGAGAGGTGACTGCCATTCCCAGCTTAGTGTGCGTGTCTGTCTCACACAGTATTATTATACTAAGAGAAAATAGTAGTGGAACTATTGACCATAACAGAAATAAAAAAGAACTTACGGCGTCTACAGGTTTCACCATCAAACCTCAACAGCAACAACATCAACCAACACTAATCACCATCAACAGGAGGTATTTAACAGAAGTTACGTACTTCACTTATACAGGAAGCATCGTATCAAGTACAACAGACGGACAGCACAGATGAAGATGTCAAAGCCAGACGGAATCGGAAACCAGTTTGAAAATCCTCTACACTGCACTCAGCATATGGCAAAAAGATCCGTATTTTCAACTCCAATGTCAAGTCGGTCCTTATATACAAGTCAGAAAATTGCATTTGGCGCCCGTCACGAAAAAGATTTCCAACAGCCTGTTTCAGACTTTTAACAACAAATCCTCACTTCGCTGGCTCCACATTGAAGATCAAATGGCCAGTAAGAAAGAAATAGTAACAAGAAACTCTGGCTGGGAATAAACCAACCAAGAGTCAATCGCTTGAATGGAATCTAAATGGGAAACAATGGAGTGGGTCGTCAGTGCGAGGGTAACACGGAGGAGATCGTGTGAGTTGGGATGAGATGAGAGATTCTAGGCAATCATCATGTAGCTAGCCAGATGAAGAGGATGGCAGAAACTAAGAGAAAGTGGAGATGTGCTCAGGTTGAAGCCCTATGTTCAACTCGACACCCAAAGGAACAATAAAAATAATAATAATAAATAATAGTTTTACCATACACAAGAAAGAAGAGAAACCTCAAATCCTACGTGGAATTCTAAGCAAAGCAGGAATTCGAGTGGCGTTTAAACCTTCAAATATTCTATTCAGCTGACAAGTTCTGTAGGATAAAGGACGTTATTCAACCAACTAGACAAAATAGTGTAGTTTATAAAATACCTTTCAATGACTGTGAGATGAACAACGTAGGTCAAACCAGTAGATCAATAGGTTAGTCAGATTATTGGAACTTAAGAATTTAGCAAAGCGTACAATGACTGACAACATGAAGATGAATCAGACTGGAAAATATTTAGCAATTACAATGCATGCATTAACACACACACACACACACAACCACACAATATAAGTAGGTAGAGGAGGAGATTAGATACAACTAAATCTATATTTAGGGTGGGTGACTAGCGATGAGAATCTTGGATGCACGTTTCATCCTATTTGGGACTCACCATCTGTACAGTAGTACCTGAAATCTCCAGTGAATGATAGTGTTACCACTGGGACTTGAGCTAAACACCCTTCGTTTTAAACGCCAAAGCGTTAACCACTAGACCGCTTAGGCTACAACAGTCACCGGTTGTTCAGTGGAGATAAGTCCTAAACAAGACGAAATATGCAGGTTACATTCCACTGCTAGTCACAACCTACCCCCCATTGACTCATGTCAATTCTCAAACACTGCTGAAGCGTGTCTACTAGGAGCAGAGACGTCAACGAAAACCCACCGTTTCGACTGAGTCAGCCAACGGAGGAACAAAACAGAAAAACCATGTGTAAAAATGATCTAATTAGCTAGCCAGCTAACTAACCAACTAACTAGATAACTTACCTTTTGGCCGTGACATCAATCGAAGTAATCCACCTAAACAGACATCTGATATTTGTGGTACACTACTAGCACATCGACCGATAGCTTGAATTGTTGCAGTGACAAACTCTTCATCAAAACTATTCACATAATGCTAAAATAAAGAAACGAAAAAACAAAAAAAAAGAAATGAAGTGGGTGCTTTTCGGTACCTTTCGACGCAAGATTTTCATTACCGGGCTAGCCGGACCTCAGTAGGTGGAGCGGCGGCGGAGTTCGAACACGTGGCCCCATAGTTGGAAGACAAGCGCCTTAACCACTTAGCTAGAGCTTCACAATTACAAAACAAGATCCATTGAAGTATACGGTTTGTAGAGGTTTAATTACTTTCAGAGTAGGATTTGGTGGCATATAAAAAAAAGCTATCAGTTGCTTAGTCTTCAATAGTTCCCCAACTGTTGTCAGTTAGTAGTAAAATATGCGTTAGAAAAATTACATAATTCATTGCAAACTGGTCTCATCTAACAGGAATAGTGATAATACAATCCCCAAATCTCTACTGTGTACACCTATAGTCATCAGAAATAATGAAATCGTCACACGTTTCTTGGAATTCTAGACTTTTTTAAACACACACTTACGAAACCTGACTTGTTGGCTTTGTCTGTCTGACTGTTTTCGACATAGAACTTTGCACATATGTGTGGCAGTTCGAGTCGCCACACTCTTTCAATGTACCACACAAAGCAAGAGAAGAAAGTACAAGGAATGCATAATAGAGACAGTAATCAGAGGTGTGAGACAAACGAATAGTAATAACGAAGAACAAAACAGTTTTATTGGAAATCATAAGTCATAAGGAGTGGACGCATCTGCACCAGCCATTGAGAACGATTTTAAGCCACATCACCAATTGTTTCTAACCATTGATGTTTACCGTCCCGAGGACTCCAACCATTCAGGAAGTCTATACCTTCCTACGTGACTAGCTAAAACTAACTGTTGTAGATTTCATTGAATGGTCCCACCATGTTTTGGTTTGACCGCCTGTAGCTCTTCTCCAGCCTGACCCCCTATGTCAGCTAACATTGCCTGTTGTCCAGGAAGGCGATGATTAGGCGGGTATACGTAACACATGTCCTAACCATCTCTCTCAATCGGTGTAACTTCACAGCCCGTCGATTGATTTCCCCTCCTTGGTTTACCTAGCACTTGACCGATGCCTAACCTCAATATTCCTCACCTCACTATACCACTTCACACGAGAGATAGAACGCAGGCACCTATGATCAAAGACACCTAATCTTTTCATGTCTTCCAATCTCAATCGCCAGGTCTCACAGCCAGTCATAAAGGAGGACGGAGTGGACTACTGAGCAGTACATCTGCCCTTTGGGCGATAGCCATCCGGATATCACGTCTACTAAGCCAGAGATGGCGTAAACTGGGCTGGCATATGCGAAACTAGCCCTCCGTATCCATGCTGAGATTTCGTGAAAGATCAACCCATTGGCGTTGGCTGATGGTACTTCCCAAATAAGTGAAGCAGTCAACGTGCTTTACCACTTCACTCCGTATTTCTAAGCTAGGAGTCAGTGTAGTCCAGTCAGTCCTGTAACATCATCTTACATTTCGCGGGAGCTAATCGCATGCTAAGCATTCGTAGATTGCAGCTGAAGGTGTTCAGAAGACTGCATTTTGTCAGAGTCCTCGCCTAGAAGGACTACATCGCCTGCATATTCCAAGTCAACGAGATTATTCCCTGGTAGCAAGTCAATCCCTGAGTCGCTGAAGTGAGTTAGGGTTAAGTCCATTAATACATCTATGACGAAGTTGAATAGAAAAGGAGATAATGGGCATCCTTGAAGGACAACACTGGTCGTCACCACTTCAGATGACAACTCGCCGTAAGCCCTCACCTGGCTGCATGAGTGCGAGTAGAGTGCCTTAATCAGTGCAATGTATTTTCTCGGAATTCCTTCTACAGCCAAGCATCGCCAGAGTACCTCTCGGTCGACAGAATCGAATCCCGCCTTTAGGTCAAGAAATATAATGATTGTTGGACGCCGGTAGGAGTGCCTATGTTCTAGAATCTGTCGAAGGGTGAAGATATGATCAATACACCATCTTCCTGGTCTAAAGCCTGTCTGGCTCTCTCGTGTTTGTGCCTCCCGAGCACCACTCAGTCTACGCATGATTATTGAGCCTAAGACTTTAGATTCTATATTAGTCAGGCTAATCCCTCTGTGATTATCACAGGAAGACTTGTCTCCCTTCTTGTATATGGGGATAATCAGTGACTTACACCAACCCGATGGGACTTCTTCTGATTCCCAGACGCTTCCTAGTGCCTCAGTTAATGCAGACAGTAAACTGTCTCCACCGTACTTAAACACTTCTGGAGTCATTCCATCAGGTCCTGCTGCTTTGCCTTGTTTCAGATTGGTGACAGCTTTAGTAACCTGAGTTAGGGATGGAGGACCTGTGTCTATATCCCATTCAGGGAGGTGTTGGAAATTTTTAAGTACAACCTGTATAGGCGCTGATCAGAGAGCGATATAGGGCGGATCATGTCAGGAGGAAGGAAACAGAAGCATATGCAGAGTCATGGGGCCAGTTCAGAAAGTGGCATCAGAGAGTCAAGGGCACTGGGGATATGTCCCATCCGGAACGTTAGGAATGAATGGTATGAATGGTAAAATGAAGTAGACACAAAAATAAGAACAAGAACAACAAGAGCAACAACAACAACAACAACATGAAACTCACCTGAAATTCACGTAGAATAACAGAACTTGATGTTTCAGTAATTAAACTGCTGAGAATTTCCAACTTTAATAATTTCACTTGTAGTGAATCAGTTGAATAGACGAAAAATGTACGTAGATACGGTTCAAAGAGATTACGATGTTCAATTGTTAAACTGGCTATATTACTTAATATCACATATTGAACTTCACTAGACATAGAAAATAAGAAGAAAGGAAAAAAAGGGGAACAGCTGTGAAATTATTTCTGGAGGGGAAGGAATTTCTTTACAAAGAGATAGTGGCTTATATACATACATATAAACAAACAGATCATGAGTTGGATAGAAAAATCCTTAAACAATACAAAGACTTAACCAGTTAACCTTCACATCCAAAGGGGTCCCCAATTTTGAATCGCGCTCTTCATACTACTACCACTATCAGTCCCTCTTCAACGAGCAATCTTAGTTGACATACGGTTGAACTGGGAAAGAGTCATGAGAGTGATCAAATTAAAAACTGGAACTAAAATCCATGAAGTTAATTTATGTTGCGTAACTAGCAGAAGTGGAATCAAGCCAGGATGAGCATTTCGTCCTATTTGGGACTCTTCTGCCAGCTGAATGAGTGATGATGTTCCCACCACCGAGGCCCCAACCCAGTGCCCACAGTTTCAAACACCAAAGTGTCGTTATCCACTAGACCATTTGGGCCACGAGAGCCACCATCACCAGTGCAACAGGTCACTAATCAACTTCTAATTATACATACCCAGACATCGTAAAGGCATCTGCACAAGAAGCCGACACATATCAACCTGAAAGCGAGCACTTCGGTTCAATCAATCGACAGGAAAAATCTAAAATCGAATTAATTAATTAATCGATAAAGTCTGTGAATGTTGGCCTGAGCTACGAAGGGTGTTGATTGGGTACTTCGGGATGCAAAGGGCCGAGATGCTTTGAGACTATTGGTAATATGGCTCAATATCACTGTCGATGGCAGACGTGCATTTACTTTTTGTAATCTCCCAAATTCCATTAAATCCTCATGTTTCGCCAGATTACTATTCTTTCTCCCATGCACTTCTGCGTGTTATATAATTCTTCGGAATTCCATTTCTCTATCCTTTCTTCACTTTTGTGTGCTCCACGGGGTATGGCAACACCTGAAGTGCTTCCCTTTTGTATACAGAGTTCTATGTTGAAAATCAGTCAGTCATCATAGATTCTCGCAAGTGAAAGCCCTCTTCTGAAAACTAAGTTTAGATAATTAGTTCAACTATGTATATAGGACGGGAAGAATTCTCAAAATTCTAGCATTATCAATCACAAACAGCAGGTTTTGTTCCCTCAGGGTTGAACCGTCTTATATCACTGCTCAACACAGAAACATATTAAGTCATTACCTATCCTACCTTTTCAGTCCTAATGCGGCGTATGCTACCGATAAGATTTATCAGTAGTATGTATATACATAAAGAGATGATACAGCGATGCGGAGATACATGACAGACATGAACGGAACCCAGAAGATAAGCACATCACGGAAGATCTGTGCAAATGGTGATTTGAAGATAAATTGTACATAATTTGGCTACATAGAGATACCAAATCACAAATACACATTTGTGCTTTACCAAGTTTTCCATCCTCTACCGTTACACTATTGTACCTTGATTAAAAGGGATTCCAAACGCTTAGTTGTCATAATGGTAATACTGCCAATGATAACAGATTTATTCTAGACAATACGTTGACAAGGTACAGAATCCCTAGTGTGCTTTACTGCAAAATACTTCCTCTTCCGTAGAAGAATCCTCAAAAAAGACAATAGCAGTCAGATTTTGGGCTATATGAGTCACACAGGTTAATTTCAACAAGGATTTCATCAGGAACCAATAACAGTTAGAGGAATCACAAAACTTCAAGAAGCACTGGACGGTTGTTTCGTCCTAAGTCGGGACTCTTCAGTAGAAAACAAAATTCAAAGGCCATTGAATTCCAACACAACACCTGAATAGTCAATAGACTGACCACCCCATATAACGTCAAGGTCCGTAATTCATTCGCTGACAGGGACATGAGTGTACCCCGCGAAAAGGGGGCCCAAATCAGGGCGAAACACCTGTCCATCGATCCTTCATTTTCAATAATCCCCTCTTGGTGCATTATATAAACATTATGAATATTTAAATAATCCAGTGATTTAAACAGGCCAATATAAAATCAAAATACTATAAAGTTTTTTGTAGATTACTGAATTGAATTTTTGATTTTCCCGTCGATTGACTGGACCGAAGTGCTCGGTCTCAGGTTGACATGTCGGCTTCTTGTGCAGATGCTTCAACGATGTCCGGGCATTTAGTTAGTATACAATTGGTGGATGGTGGCTAGCAGTGGAATCCAGTATAACCCGCATTTCGTCCTATTTAGGACTCGTCATCTGGATGTGCCTGCGTTTCTCAGTGAGTGATGATGTTCCCACCGAGGCTCGAACCCAGTACCCATAGTTTCAAACGCCAAAGCGTTATCCACTAGACCACTTGGGCCACGAGAGCCACCTCTTGTGCAACGGGTCATATTATTTTTTGTAGATTTCCTTTTAAAATGAGAAAAAATAAATCGATGTCTACTAAACAGTAAGTAACAAGCTTTGTTTGTCATCTCCCGGTTGGCAGAAAAATCTTGAAATCGCCTAACCAACTAAGTAAAAGTTCATATGTTATTTGACACTGCTTTTAAGAAAATTTCATAAAAGGTAACTGAATAATCGAGGAAGTGTCCTTCTGATTGTCGGAGATTCCATGTCCACCTGCTATATTGGCCGTACAAAGCTCACACTTTCCAAATGCATCTCTGAACATTATCCCGTATAGTTGGTTAGCAAAAGGACAATGCAAGACAGTTACTAGTTCAATTCTTGAGCACTTGGTGAACTCAAGCCATACAGTTCCATGAGATTCGCCTTTCACGATTATCTACAAGGTGAGGCTAAATGGTATAAAGAGCGTCATGTTCCGGCACTGGTGTATAGCAGAGGCGTTGGCAATTCAATTCGTCAGTACAACCTCGAACTCTGTATACAGAAAAATGATTGTCCAGTCTCTTGTTCTTCCATGATTTTAATCTCTTCATTAGTCGTTCCCTGTAAAAAAAATTTTATTTTTTAATTTTAGCTTACTTCTAGCATGATAATTAATTCACTATTAACACTCTCACATGTTCCTTTTGTACATTTTCTCACGCACTTGACACTTGTTAAACTGACACTCAACTACCTTTCTTCCCGCTAGACAACAATTTTACCCTAATCAAATTTCTAATGCTTACTTCCTCTGTACCATTGAGTACTACGTAATCTACAGCTTTTATTTTTTTTACTTCTAAAACAACTTCTGAGTGACTATATCAATTATGTAACCTCCTATTACTCAATGATAGACTACCATACATTTTTGATACATATAAATACGATTGTACAGCCTCCGAAAGAGGATGACTTCATCGATAAAGAAAATTTCCTTCACTGAATTGTCTTTCATTTCCCCATTTTAGATTGTTTATTAGACGTATCACACAGTGAGTGAAACAGTATTATTTACTGGATGACGTTTCGAATACAATTTATTACTGTTCATCATCATATCAGAATCGGAAAAGCAAGACAAGCTTTCATTACTCTCAAATCTGTGTGGAGGTCAACAGCACTCAGCATCAAAAATAAGATCCGGATTTTCAACTCCAATGTGAAGTCAGTGCTGTTATACGGATGGATCAGAGACTTGACGTGTCATAAAGAGCCTCCCAAACAAACTTCAGACCTTCACCAACAGTTGTCTTTGCTCAATACTGAAGATCTGATGGCCAGAAAAGATCAGCAACAGGGATCTCTGGGAGCGAACCAATCAGGAACCGATTGTGAAACAAATAGGCAGAAAGAAATGGAGATGGATTGGCCATACTCTGAGGAAACGATCAAGTGACATCACTAGACAAGCCATTGCTCGAGTGGAACCCGAAAGGGAGGCGGCGAGTTGGTCGTCCAAGGGTGACTTGGAGGAGGTCATGCGAGGAGGAGATGAAAGCATGTGGACAGACCTGGAGCAGGGTGAAAAAGTTGTCAGAAAACCGAAGGCAATGGAGGTGCTCAGCTGAAGCCCTATGTTCCTCTAGGAACTAAAGGATACGATAACAATAATAATAATAATATCAGTTATAATGGCACCACTTCGAAACTTGAATTTTATAGTCTTCTCTGCTCCATCCTATTTGTCGTAGCTTTGAAACTTAATAACGACCCTGACGAATTAGTCACAAAGTATGTAGGAAAATGTAAACGTGAGATAAATAATGACAGTAGTGATAGTGATAATAGTAATAACATTAGTGACGACACAAACAATAAGGGACCTAAATCATCAGTAGTAATTCCATACAAGGAAGAAATCTCGGAAACCACCTCCCGCAGAATTCTTAACAAGGCAGGAATTAAAGTGGCTGGCATTCGAACCACCCACAAACTCAATTAGAAAAAAGCTTTGTCGATTAAAGGATCAGTCCTGTGGAGCCTTTAAAACAAAACAATTTAGTTTATCTAATACCAAGGTGGAATGATTGCTAGGTCAAATACATCGGTTAAACTAGTAGAACAGGGTCAGTCAGTCAGACTAAACCTAGCAGCGAAATCTAGATTAGTTGACCTAAATAAGATAAGAAATCTAGAGAACAGTTCAGCTATACCCCTCACTACATGCAATTACACACAACCATACAATAAGATGGGATGGGATAGGATGACAGTTTTAAAATCTAATGTAACGGCAGGGTGTAGGAGGGAGAAATCGATAACAGAAGCCTTGTCTATAGAATCAATTGACAGGAAATACATTTAATAGGAATGGTTCAACACCTGCCCACCCAGATATCTGGAAAATTGTACTACCTCAACGATGACAAATATAGGAGAAGACAAAGAAAACTATAAAACTCAAGTTTCAAAGTCGTGTGATTATAATTAATGGTATGATTATGAACAGCAATAAATTTTGTTCGAAACTTTGTCATCCAGTGAATAATAATACTTTTACACTCACCACGTGATATATCTAATAACCAAACTAGTATGGAATTACTTACTACCAAAGTGCCCAAGTTTTACACATATATTAATCGCTTTTTTTTTTAATTTTCTTCATGACTCAATGGGGATTTTCGGTGATATATAAATAAAATAAGGCCAGACCTTTGTGCGTCAAAACAAATGCTACAATCTCTTTCCCAACCATGGTCTTTAATGATTAATTATGATTATTATTATTATTACTATGCGAAGAAAATCTTACCGATTGCAATTTAGCGTCCGAATTAGAGCTCGAACCACTGATGGATAGTCGTCTTTACAATTCATATAGAATAATAATTGACTAGCTGCCATAACCACCTGGAAAAGGAAACAAGAAGACAAGGAAATATTAACCCCACCCCATAATTCAATCGATTAATTATTCATGTTGATAAATAAAGCAAAAAAGGACAGACACATTAGTGTAGGAAAGAAATATCTTCATGAAAACTCGAATGAAATGGACAACGGATCCATTTTCATAGTTTCATATCTATACAGAATGAATGTTATTTAATCCACTATCTTTGTCAATGAATAAGATTTAAATACGCTAATAGTTGTGTTGTTCTACACCAGCGTCATATAGAAATGATCCGTCATGTGTATCAGGTTATGAGTCATATTTGACGTGTGTAGACTAATGATTCTATCCAGTTTCCCAAGATGAATTCGACGGAGTCAGAATTGACACCGATGGTTCTACGGATGATGAAGCACAGAATATGAAAAGTACCTTGTCATGAAATAGTTACTTTAGCAATTTTCTTATTATTGTTCCCTTGGGTTCCTAGTGGAACATAGTGCTTCAACTGCACATCTCCACTTGCTTCTTTCTTGCTTCTGCTGTACTTTTCACCTGCATCCATCTTAGTCCATACTGTCCATATACTCCTCTTCACACGATCTCCTCCATGTCACCCTCGCACTGACGTCCCACTCGCCGCCGTTTCCCTTTCGGCCTGGTTCCACTCGAGCAATGGTCTGACGCGAGCACGATGTCACCCCCTCAGCGGGTGTTCAATCCAACTATCTCCACCTTCTCCTGCATATTTGTTGGTTGGTGTTTGGTTCTTGTTTTCTTTGTTCCTCCCCATAGTCTCTCGTTGGTGATTCTTTCCGACCCGGCCATCTCATCTTCAGTATAGAGCGATAGTTGACAGTTGTTCACAAACGTCTGCAACAGGCTGTTGGTGGAAATATTCTTTGTGACCCGCCCACCAAGTTTCCGATCCGTATAGAACAGCTGACTGACTTGACGTTGTTTGTACTGAAAATCCGATCGAATTTTGTTGTTGATGCTGGCTGACTGACGACGATTTCCAGATTGGTTTCAGGTTGATGTGAATGTGTTTCTCGCCCTCCCGATTCTCGCTCGACTTGACATCGTCGTCCGTTCCGACTTCCTGTAGTTGAGACAATGCTCCCTAGATAAGTGAGTGAATGAATTAACCTCTTTCAACTCCCTCCCGTTGATGGTGATTCTCGCTGGATGTTACTGTTGTTGTTGGTTGGTTGGTTGGTTATTTTCATAACCTCCGTCTTGTCTATGTTCACCTGCAGTTCTGTCTTCGCCGGCTGCTTCTTCGACCAGTTTGTCGGTTTTCGCTTGTAAGTCTTCGATTTTGTGTGACATCAAACATAAATCATCCACGCGCGAAATCCAGGTCTTCTAGGTTCATCACGTCGGTCCAGGATATCCTTGTCTGCTCGTTTCCCACTCACTGTCTGACGCATAATCCAGTCAGTCCACCACAATTAGGAATATCATCGGTGATAATAAGCACCCTTATCTGACTCCTGTGTTTACTCCAAACTCCTCGCTGAGTTTTCTGTTGAGGATCACTTGACATGTGCCATTGTCGTACAGCTGTTGAATACGGTTGATGAATATTTGGGGTACACCGTAGTAATCGAGTAGTTTCCAAATTACTTCGCGATCAACGCTGTCTGTCGAAGGCCTTCTCAAAGTCTATAAAATTGAGGTAGAGGTTTGATTTCCATTCCATGCTTTGTTCTGTGATAATGATGCGTAGAGTTGCAATTTGGTCAGAACATGATTTGCCTGACTTTCCTGAATCCAGCTTGTTCTGGTTGGAGTTCTGTATCCAATGCGTCCTTGATTCCCTCCAGGATGATGCGACTCAGGATTTTACTTGGCGTCGACAGGAGCATGATTCCTCGCCAGTTTTTGCAGAGTCCTAAGTCGCCCTTCTTTGGTATTTTCACGAGGTAACTTTTCCTCCAGTCAGTAGGCGATTTCTAGAAATGTCTGGAAATATTGAGTACGGAGAAATTTTACTGAGAAGTGAGGTTTCGGGGGGGACACACATTTAATCAGATATTATGACACAGGTTGATCAGAGCTCTTTTGTAACAACATTTAAAGTTTTAAAAAAGATACCTATACTGAAACAAGGCATTAGAGTATAAGCTACAGAGGATGGTCTCATCAGTGTGTGTATGTGTGCTGTATATGCAAATTTAACTGCTTCTGGATGAGGATTTTGTTATATACGACATGCATGAATCCATGAACGTATACTAGATTGGCAAGAAAAAGGTGAAAGCTAAGTCAACAAAAACACGACCACTTTATCTCCATTTGGTGGGCAGAGAACAGAACGTAATAAAAAGAGAGAAGAGACATTTAAGATTTCATATCAAGTGCAGTACAATCTGCCTAAAGGCATGAGATCACGTCTCTTACACACATAACTGAAGCGATATGAATCAATAAGAAATAAACCTAACTTATGAAGCAAACTCACATAATACATTCAACTTCTATAGTTTATCTTTGCTTAAAATAAAGCCAAAGTGGACGTAATTATTTCATAATCTATATGCCTTTTTACACCATAACACGTGTTACGCATGCCTAACCACTGCCTTCATGTGGACGGGTAATGTTAGCTGACTGACATAGGATGGATCAGATTGGAAAAGCATGGCTTCATCAGTGAGTGAAATTCACAAAAGTTAGTTTAAGCCAGCCACGTAGGGAGGTGTAGACTTCCTGACTAGATATAGTTGGGGTCCTCACGATGATAAGAACCAATGATGGCTACAGACAAGTAGTGATATGGCTCAAAATCGTTCTAGGTGACGGAGCAGATGCATTCACTCTTTGTGAACTATAATTAACCAATAAAATTATGTTGTTCTTCCATACTATTGTTCTCTTCCCTCACACTTGTGTTTATTACTTCTCTTTTGAATCTCTTTTTACTCTCTTCTCTTGCTTTGTGTGCTGCATGGAGGGAGTGTGGCGACTTGAACTGCTGCCCACTGTGCAAAGTAGTTCTATGTTGAAACCAGTCAGTCAGTCAGCCATAACAAACTTACAGGTTAGATATCATGAATTGACATCAGTTCGAGAATCACTGTTATTATCAGTAGTCATCCTATTAAAAGTTTATTGTATTCACACTATTTCTCACTCCACATCAAACCTGAGTTGCAAATTTAGCAAAACACGTCCCTTACCCGACCCATTAAATTCCAGTAGGACGCGTTAACTGTGAATATTGCAGAAACAAGATTTATTTATACTAGTTTCTACGGTTGAGATTTCGCCATTCAAATACAAAGAACATCAAATTCGACTAGTGTATATATTTTTTATTCCTTCACGTTCCCAGTGGAACATACGGCTTCAAGTTAGAGGCTTGAAGTTTCTGACGCAGTGGTGATTAGTTTTACGGGGTGGAGTTGCTAGCCTTATGCCCAACCATTCCTCTTTATCAGCCCTACTACTGACTTAGTGAGGTAAAGGAGTGCATCGGCCGAGAATCGAACCCCGGACTACATGAGTAGTGGGCGAGCATTCTACGGCTGTGCCGCCGATGCACAGATGGACTAGTATATACAATAGCGTTTGTAGAGTATTCAGCTGTATTCAGAGTATTCAGTACTCCTCAGCAGTTCACTCCGTCCTTCTCTATGGCTCTGAAACATGGCCAATACGAGTTGAAGACATGAAAAGGTTGACTGCTTTCGATCATAGATGTCTGCGATCTCTTTCTCACATTAGGTGGTTTCACAAGGTAAGTAATGTTGACGTTCGGCGTAGATTGTTGGGCAAAGAGGGAAAATCAATCGACGAGGCTATAGAGTTACATAGATTGAGATGGCTAGGTCACGTGGCGCGCATGCCTAACCATTGCCTCCCCCGACGGGCATTACTAGCTGATATAGGTGTAGGTTGGAAAAGAGTAAGTGGTGGCCAAACAAAAACATGGCCTCATCAATCCTTGACAGTTAAACTGAGTAAGGTAGGGAGATGCAGACTTCCAGGTTGGGGCCCTAGGGACTCTATGAATCAATGGCCTGAGACAATAGGTGACACATGGCTCAAAATCGTTGTCAATGGCCAGCGAAGATGTATTCAGTCTCTGTAATCTTTCATATTCCTTCCTTTCTACCATTACCCATTCTGTTTCACTCTTATACTTGTCAGACTGTATTGATTCTCTTCACTCATCTTCTTGTCTACCTCTGTGTGCTATTTGGAACGTGGCAACTCGAACTGGTGCACTTCGATGCCAAGTTCTATGTTGAATCCAGACAGACAGAGAGACAGACATTCAGCTGACGAGGCCTACTGGAATTTATAAATTCAGACATTTAGTAAAAAACAAAAAATTGAACAGAGAATATCCCTTCCGATAATTTCCTCTTCTGACCCTACAATTATATATATATATATGTAGAGAGAGAGAGAGAGAGAGAACATTCTAGAATAATCACCATTAACAATATTGGTGTTTTTAAGTACCATCGATTTGTTAAGTAAGACCGCAATGGAATTACAGATCACTAAAGATGCATAAATTATAATACCCGTAAAATTGTAATACCAAACAGAATATAAAATAAAATTAAGGAAATTTCTAGAACAAATCAAGGGGCATGGAAAACCTTGATAGCTAAGGTTATTGTTATTATTAAACAGTTGCTGAGTGGGAACAGTTATCCAGAAAAATTCACCAATAAGAAAATGAACCAAATGTCAAAACAGACCACAGTACCAATAGTTCTGAAACAGGAAGGTCTTATTCTTACAACTTCACTTCATCGGGGATAACATCAGTGAGAAATAAAATACAACGCCTACGGAGTACAGCGGTGAAAAGAGCATTCAGTACTGCAGAATTAACTCTGTGTCTTCAAAACACCTCTATTTGTGTTCGGGAGTTAAAGATAAACTACCAAATGGGATTAGCAGCGAACCAACCAAGAGACTATCACCTAATCCATATGCAGAAAGACACGGAGATGAATGGATTGGATGTAGAAGGTTCAGTAGACCGTCAAGTAACATCATGCGCCATGCAACCCATGCTGCGGAACCCGAATAGAGGAAATAATTAGTTGGGTAATGGTTCAAGGGTGACATGGAAGAGATTGTGAGGAGAGGAAATAGAAACTTATGGACGATCGTGGAGCCAGTTGTAAAAATTGCTGTAGAGAATAGAATGAAATTGATTACAGGATTTGATCATGAGCTGACATTGGTTATAGAACCATTGGAAAACCAACTGGGAGTACTAGACAACTGTTTCGTCCTAGTTTGGGACTCTTCAGGATGAAATTGAGATGTTCTGTTGAAGCCATATATGAAAATGAATTCAATAGCAATGTGTTGGTAGCAAGCGAGGTTAGAAATAACTAATGCGACTTCGGTGTGTGTGTGTGTGTCAGTGGTTCAATGATAGAATACTCGCCAACCATGTGTATGGTTCGGAGTTCGATACCCACTCAGCCATCAATACACTTCTAAACCACGTTTAGCCGCTAGTAAGTCATGGTAAGGAGGGAAAGCTGAACGTGAGGCTAACAACCTCACACCATAAAAACAAAACACCCCTGCTATTGAATCTTCAAAGTTTAGGCCTGAAGGTCTATGTCCACAAAAAGGAATGCAAAGGAGTAGAATAAGTAATGCAATACATGTCAAAAAGATTTTGATTCACACCCCCATCAAATCGACTTAAAATCCGCACAACATAAATTAACTCTTTGAAATGAAGGTATGCTACTGAATCTTTGGAAAAGCAATATATGTATTCCCAAAAACAGATATGAATATAAATAATAATTAATCAAACGGCTTGACTTACAGCTGAGTTATGACTATGTAAAAGGTATCTGGATGCATTGACTAGAATACATCGATCCGATTCCAGTAATGGTAAAGCTTCAGACATAGAATACGTCGCCGCCTCGCAGAGATTGTTATCTGATGTTTGCTGAGTACTACTATTCCCACTACTAATGTCACGTCCACCAACTGCAGTTGACTTCAAATCACTGCTTGATTGATTGGTGGGAGAGTCACCATTGGAAGTAGCCCCGTTGTCACCATTTACCTAAAGAGGGAAAAATGGAAATGACCGACAGCATGTCTAAATGAAGACTGAATTACGCAGTCAAACACACCGATAAATAATATTCACAATAAAAAAATATATTCTCTTACAATAGAATCAAATCCAAATCGTAGCAGAAATTTTTTCAAGTGTTAAGTTTGTAGGGATCTGATCGGTTTCAAGTTCGATCACGGACTGATATCATATCATATTAGCATATATTTAATTATTATTTACTTTAATTATATTTAATATATTTTGTCCAAGTAGCTATAAACGAGCACTAGTCACGACTCTGTACTATAGAGCGAGGAGAATATGCTTTGCAGAGAAACTAGAGGAAGAATTTACGATTCTCAAAAAGGTGCTGAAAAACAACGGTTATCCTCAAAGATTCATTAACACATATGGAAGATGTGAAGGCTCAAATACTAAACAAATCACAGTTGATAAAAATGCCGGTCTTCATTCAACTAGATTTTAAAGGTGAAAACATTGCATTAATGATCAACAGAAGACTGAGAACGTCACTAGCCAGAGTCTATCCTGCAACTGGCTAAATTGGTTCCCGTCTATCGAACAACATGCTCTTTGTGATATGTATCCATATATATATATATATATATATATATGATGGTCTCTCTTTCTGTTGCTCTCTTAGTCTGTGACCATTTCACTTTGATGAAGCTGTCTCCTATAACAATGTATATTCCCCTTATAGTACATATAATATGTGTGTTTGTTTGACAGTCTGTTATATTTCGCTATGTATATATGGATCGATACTCCATTATAATTAGCCAATCATGTTAAGACTGTCTATTGATTTGTTCACACACTTGTTTGGACATTCATATATATAGTGCTCTCACACTATTGTGTGATACATTGATTCTCCTGGCGTTTTGGAAAATAGAAGTATCATCGCAAACCTAGTGGTCTTCTGATTTCCGTCTTTCTTGCGTCAGGACTATTAAATTCTCGACCAGTACATAACAATAATTTGGCGACGAGTACAAAACACTTTGGTGCAGTCAAAAGCCGATAGATACCCTTATCATGTTAATAACTCCAACTGTGTATACAAATTTACGTGTATCTGCGGGAGCAGTTACATTGAGAGAAAAGAAAGAAGCCCATATACACCTCAGATTTTCTGAACATGTGCCGAAAAGCCTACGTCTCAAGCGAACAAACTCTTATAGTAGCGCTATTACCAGACATCTCCTCCACACGGGTCATGAGACGGAAATCGCGAAATCCTTCAAAATTATCAATAGACAAAGGAGCTCGATTCTCCTCAAGTTTGCCGAAACCATTTCTGTCAAACGCTTGAAACCAGATTTATGTGTTCAGAAAGAAGCAGTTATTAGTCTTCACTTGCCCATTCTGGTAACTGGATGTCTTTATTCTCTCATATGATTACGTAATCTTTGTCTTTAACCCCACCCCTCTTTTTTATAATCTGTAATTTTGCTTGTTTCTTGTTTCTATGATTTGAGTTGAACTCAGTACATTGTTACCTAATTTATCAATCACTCTGTATCTAACGTATATTTCGTCTTTATTACGTGACTCCTTTACAACTGTATGCATACATTTATTTTGTTTAAACTTAAACTGCCTGTGTAAAAACCATATAGGCGTAATTTTCTGAGCACTGTTCACTAAGCCCGGAACCTCCTGTCAACTGACAGACATCGTGTGAAATTTGCAAGTATGTTAAAAATATTCTTTGCATGAACTTAATAATAATTTATTTAGGCTGTAAGCAGCTGAGCTGATGAGAATCCAACGAAATAAATGATGGTAGCAAATTATTCTGCACAAACCACTGTTTTTATTGCTTTATTCAGACATATATATCTATATATAAACATGACTCAATATAGAGTTGTTTTTGATAATGGTGCTCAGTAGTGGAACCCGGAATGGGAATTTCCTCCCATTTCTAACTCATCAGTTGGTATTCCCACTGGGATTTGACCCCAGGATTCATCGTTTCAACAACAAAAACCATCCCCTAATACGACGAAATGAGCATCTTGGAATTAATTTGCTGGTCATTACCGACTGGAGACATTGTCGAAGCATCCGTACATATGTCAGTATAGACCAAGTACTTCGGTTCAATATAATTAATCAATCAAAGGGAAATACAAAACTAGAGTAAAAAAACACACATAATGAATGACTCACTGTGGCTGAGTGTTTTTCTGGATTTGGAAATTGTGTCCTGGCATAACGTGTAAGCATTGTCAGTATAATCACTTGACCCCATTCATCAACATCCATGATTAAATTACACAGCTTAAGATAATGTCTAATGTGAAATGAGAAACAACCAAACAAATGAATTTTTGACTTTGTAAGGAGATCCAATTCATTTTTACTGTGGATTTGTGCATGAATCAAAATCAATTAAAGAATTACTGAAAGCCGAGAGAAAGGAATCGGACATCAGTTACATTGTATCATGAAACCCTTCAGGAGTGTGCATCTATGATCATTATCAGAGATCAAGCAACTCCCCTCCCCCATTATTAACTGGTGTCCAAGTGAAGGTGTTGAAGTTACGGCAGGAAGTCACCGTCAATGGGCATCGGTGGTTCACTGACAGAATTCTCGCCACCCGCGCCAATAAAAGTTACGGTCTGATCTCCTATAGACGCACGCCTAAACCGCACCTAACTTTCAGGAAGCTCGCTTACAAAGAAAGACTGGGAGTGAGATTAGTATAACCCCATTAAAGATAAGATTTTATTTTGAAAAATCACACAGTCGTGTTATACAGTGATATTTACTGATGACGTTTCGGGCACAAACTACTGCCACTCATAATCATATCAGGTCACTCACGCATCATTTTACTTCATTTATATACATCAGTGGAATCGATCAGATAATAATAATTATTATTATTATTAAACAGAATTTTAAGATTATTTATTATCCTCCTCTGATTTGGCTGGTGGTAATTATATCTTCCATATCTCTGGTATTTGCGTCGAGTCACTTTTATTATGCATGTGTCGGATGTAGACTCGATGAACAAGGATTCAGTAATCAACATCTCTCCCTCTCCATCTACCTAGATTACTTTTTAGAATTTTAACCCTCTCCCACACACCCTATTGTGTGGTTGTGTGTTAATGCATGCAGTGCTGAGCTTTTTCCTAAGTTACTTATCTTCTCAGGGTCAACCATTCTTTCCTTAGTTAAATTCTTATGTTCCGACAATCTCACTACCCCTGACCTACCAGTTGACTTAACTCAAAGTCATTGCAGGGTATTTTGTAAATTATATTATTTTGTCTAATTGGGTCAACAGGGTCCTTTAACCTACAAAGCTTGTCCCTGAGTGGTAAAATCACACAGTGTTGTTATACAGTAATATTTACTGATGACGATGTTTTAAGCACAATTTATTACAACTGCTCACAATCATATCAAGGCTCTACTTGCGCAACTTTCTCGCTTCATTTATATATATATGAGTAAACATTGATGATTAGACATTTGAATGAAAATCAATATAAAACATGCGTGAAACAGGAAGGATAACACTTTATGCTTCCATAGTAGATTGACCAGCAACAATCGTCTTAATTCTCATCGTATTATATATTTTATTGATAACACTAGTATTCCTTACGAATGTACTTTATCTTCCTTTCTGTTTCATGCGTGTCTGTCTTATATCGATTTGATATTCAGATTTTGAATCACTTTTTACTCACGTGACTGCTGTTTTGATAAGATTAAGCGTGGTAATAAATTATGCGCGAAACGTGATCACTATTATTATTATTATTATTGTTCCCTTGGGTTCCTAGTGGAACATAAGCCTTCATTGCACGTCTCCACTTGCTTCTGTCTCCTGTTGTACTTTTCACCTGCACCCATCTTAGTCCATACTGTCCATACTCCTCTTCACACGATCTCCTCCATGTCACCCTTGCACTGACATCCCACTCGCCACTTCCCTTTCGGCCTGGTTCCACTCCAGCGACGACCTGATGCGCGCGCGATGTCACCCAGCGACGGCCTCCTCAGTGAGTGTCCAATCCATCTTCACTTTCTCCTGCATATTTTTTGGTTGGTGTTTGGTTCTTGTTTTCTTTTTTCCTTCCCATAGTTTCTCGTTGGTGATTCTTTCCGGCCTGGCCATCTCATCTTCAGTATAGATCCAGTGAAGACAGTTGTTGGTTGATGAAGGTCTGCAACAGGCTGTTGGTGGAAATATTCTTTGTGACCCATCCGCCAAGTTTCCGATCCATATAGAACAGCTGACTGACTTGACGTTGTTTGTATTGAAAATCCGATCGAATTTTGTTGTTGATGCTGGCTGACTGACGAAGATTTCCAGATTGAAAACATTTATTTCCCGATACGAATTTAAAACAAGCAATAAAGGTTAATAAAGCAGGATTTAATGAATTCATCAAATTTCGGTAGAACTCGTCAGCTGAATACTCTACATACACGGATATATATACTTTTGAAATTACATTGGGAGATATAAGACTGATAAGTAAACAAACTACATTGAATTAATCATGCAGAAAGACACGTGCGAATGTTTTCCAGGTCATGTTCAAATAGATAAGGGGAGAGAGAGTATGAGAGATCGAAATTAAGATAAATTGCATTACGCTTCAATTACATCACTTAGATAAACAATTAGTCACTAGGGTATATAAAAAGAATTGCAAACAGACTAATATCAATAGTAATAGTTATAATAACAGTTTTAATAGTGTTGAAGTGAGTTAAGATAATCTTACTGATAAAGCATAGTTTTAGATGAATCAAGAATAATAATAATAATGGTAATAATAATAACAATAATAGTAAGAAGAAGAGGTAGAATAATAACAAGTAGAGAATAAAACGTATTACCATGGTAGATTAAGAGTCACGACCATCTCCTTTTGTATACAGAGAGCTGGTTTATAAATTCGAATTGCACAAGCCTCTGCAATTGCAAACATCTTCTTGTTTCTTTGTTTGCTGACAATGGTAAATGACTTGACTGCGTCGATATCATGTCCGTAATCTACAAGATGTTTTGTTATTGAGGATTTTGGCACTTTGAACTCAGCTGTTTTCAACCATTTTGGCAAATGCTCCATCATGCGAGTAGACAATCGCCTTTCCGTACAACCTATGTATTTGCTGCCACAAACACACTCAAATTGATATATGCAGTTTGAAGTGTCGAGGATTGGCGACTGGTCTTTCCCAGATTGTTTTAATTTCAAAAGTATATATATCCGTGTATGTAGAGTATTCAGCTGACGAGTTCTACCGAAATTTGATGAATTCATTAAATCCTGCTTTATTAACCTTTATTGCTTGTTTTAATTTCCAGATTGGTTTCAGGTTGATGTGAATGTGTTTCTCGCCTTCTCGATTCTCGCTCGATTTGACATCGTCGTCCGTTCCTCCTACCTGTAGTTGAGACAATGCTCCCTAGATAAGTGAGTAAATGAAGTAACCTCCTTCAAATCCCTCCCGATGATGGTGATTGGCGCTGGATGTTGTTGCTGTTGGTTGGTTGGTTGGTTATTTTCATCACCTCCGTCTTGTCCGTTTCCGAAGATGAAAGCCTTCGGAAACGTGTTCATCATCAGTAAATAACACTGTGTAAGACTTTATGAAAATTAAAAATTTATCCATAATGAACTAATAATAATAATAATAGTAATAAAAATTTCAAATCAAGACTCAAAGTAAAGACATCTGTTTTTTCGTTTACTTGTGTATTAAATCCAACCGTTCCGGACAGACTTCTTCAAAAGCGCGTACAGCACTCCCAATGACTACAGTGGTTTTATCACCCAATAAACGATCAATTATTTCAATCAATGTCTCCTTTTCACTTGGATCCAAACTAATTGAAATCAAAATTGAATACACAACAATAACAAATAAGGGAAAAAGTGAAGATAACAGTTTTACTATGTAAATAAAAAAATATTCTATAGTTTGGTTTGTAAAGATTACTTTTTTTTTACGCGTTGATCACGGATCGATATCGGTTAGAGAACCATTGAAAACCAGTACTGGAGTCCTGGACAGCTGTTTCATCCTACTTTTGGAATCATCGGCAGTACGCACCCACTGGGTCCCCAGTGGTTGAATGGTATACGAGATTGCCTTGTAACTGGAAGGTCCTGGGTTCGAATCCCAGTGAGTGCGTACTGCCAATGATTCCCAAACTAGGATGAAACAGCTGTCCAGTACTCCAATGCTGGTTTTCAATGGTTCTCTAACTGATATCAATCCGTGATCAACTCGTAAAAAAAATGTAAAGTAATGAAACTAAAGATTATAAAATACTCGTGATGACGACAGTAATGGAAGCCGAGTCTTATTCAACCTGATATACTTACATTCTACCGAGGAACAAACAGTTGTTGAGTGGCCGTAGTAGTCACTGCAACCCATACAATGACACCAAAACGTCAGACGAAATCGATCATACAGAGAGGAAAGCTGCGCTAGGCTTCCTCTACTTGCTGGTCTGAATTGAAATATTTAAGTGCAAAAGACGAAAGTGTTACACGACTACAATTAACAATTGTTCACCACCTGACTTGTACCCCCTAACACTGTCCCAAGTAATCGATTCAAATACTCTCTGAGGACCTGGCTCCTCGGCGATAGATACCCTTATCATGTTAATAACTCCAACTGTGTATACAAATTTACGTGTATCTGCGGGAGCAGTTACATTGAGAGAAAAGAAAGAAGCCCATATACACCTCAGATTTTCTGAACATGTGCCGAAAAGCCTACGTCTCAAGCGAACAAACTCTTATAGTAGCGCTATTACCAGACATCTCCTCCACACGGGTCATGAGACGGAAATCGCGAAATCCTTCAAAATTATCAATAGAGCTCGATTATCCTGAAGTTTACCGAAGCCATTTCTATCTAACGCTTGAAACCAGATTTTGGTGTTCAGAAAGAAGCAGTTATTAGTCTTCACTTGCCCATTCTGATAACTGGATGTCTTTATTCTCTCATATGATTACGTAATCTTCGTCTTTAACCCCACCCCTCTTTCTTTATAATCTGTAATTTTGCTGGTCTCTTGTTACTATGATTTGAGTTGAACTCAGTACATTGTTACCTAACTTATTAGTCACAATGCATCTAATGCACATCTCATCTTTATTACGTAACTCCTTTACCATCATATGCATACATTTATTCTGTTTAAACTTGAACTGCCTGTGTAAAAACCATATAGGCGTAATTTTCTGAGCACTGTTCATTAATTGTGGAACTTTCTGCCAACTGACAACATGTAAAATTTGCAAGTATGTTAAAACTTTACTGTACGTATACCTCATAATCTATCTAGGCTGTAAGCAGATGATGAGAAGCCAACGAAATAAATGATGGTAGCAAATTATTCTGCACAAACCACTGCTGTTCTTGCTTCATTCAGATTCTACATTAACGTGGTGATCGCGGTTGGCACATTGCAATTACCCAACGAGCTACACACTAGCTGCTGGTCACACATGTCATAAAGATTAGACTAAAAGCTGTCAGCGTCATTGTGTAAATTGTTTACACTAAGTTTGGCGTCTATGGACGAATTCATACTTGCTAGGGAATAGATATGTAACAGCAGATGACCAACAGCGATGACCAGCTATCCTACCTCTGAACTCTGAAGAGAGGTGGCTTAGAAAATGTCGACCCCGAAAACTGTACATCCTAAGTTACCTTGAGGCGGTAAGATCTTTATATGAACGCAACTTCAAAAAACCAATTCCGACAAGCTGTGTTATGTGACCGGCTCTACCCCCGGCTCTTTTTAAGGATCGTGGCGAGACTCTCATAATGACTCTAACTGGGTTGTTCAGAAAGGTATGGGAGACTGAGAATGTACCATCAAAGTGGAACGAAGCCATTATCGTTCCCATCTTTAAAAAGGGTCGACGTAATTCGTGTGACAATCATAGGGGTATCAGTCTGCTACCAGTCGCGTCTAAAATATTGGTTGCTGTCTTGCTTCCCATGTTGTGCAAAATACGTGAGGGATTGATTCGCGAAGAGCAGGCTGGGTTTCGTTCAGGCCGTGGATGCATTGATCATGTGTTCACCCTTCGTCAGTTGTTGAAACACCGCCACACGTATTCCAGGCCAACGACCGTTGTGTTTCTCGATATTAGGGCTGCCTTCGATTCGTTTGACAGAACTGTGCCCTGAAACTGTCTGTTAGAGAGACGTGTACCTGAGAAATTTGTTAACATCTTGAAAGCCCTATACAAAAACACCTCAGGTAGAGTGAGGGCATACAACCAACTATCATCACTGTTCCCAACCAACAGTGGGGTTAGACAGGGTTGCCCAATCTCTCCATTTCTCTTTAACTTTCCCATCGATGACATTCTGGAGTCAGCTCTGAAGGACGTGCTTGAGGGTGGTGTAGATCTGCTACCTGGAGATAGACTTTCCGACCTCGAGTATACAGACGATATCGTCTTACTGTGCGATAGCATGCAGGCTACCCAAATCGCACTTAATCAGTTGGAGATCAGTGTCTGTAAGTATGGTATGTACTTTACGCCGTCTAAGTGCAAAGTACTGTTACAAGATTGGCAGGGGCCTGTATCTGCACTCACTCTTGCAGGTGAACCGCTTGAAGTTGTTGAGAATTTTGTGTACCTGGGTAGTTGTGTGAGTGCTGGCGGAGAGGTGACGGATGAGATTTCCAACCGTATAATGAAGGCTAGGGTGGCATACATCAACTTGAGCCACCTATGGCGCCGTCGTGACATTAGCCTGGCTGTCAGAGGTCGGATATACAATGCTTCGGTGCGGGCTGCCCTGCTCTACGCCTGTGAAACCTGGACTCTCTGAGCTGAGGATGTGCGGCGGCGACTCTGGATGTTCGACCATCGCTGTCTCCGCAGGATTTCTCGCGTCCGATGGCATCATCGCATGAGCAGTTCTGAGGTTTGGCAGCGTGTGTTTGAACACGGTGGAGATCACCATCCACTGAGTGTCGTCATCTGGAAACACAGGCTTCAGTGGCTTGGACATGTGCTGAGAATCTCATCCCAGAGGCTTCCGTACAGGTCTCTATTCGCTAGCCAGCCCTGGGACGGGATGGAAAAGGCGGTGGGGTGGTGGTCAGTCCATGACGTGGCGTCGTGGGATGAAGGATGTTTGTGCTAGATTAGCATCGGTTGGTGCGTCACGACTCCCTGGTTGGGGTTCACGAGATAGCTCGAATCGATGGCTCGAAACGTTATCGGATATGGCCAAGAATCGTAATCAGTGGCGAACGTGTTGCAACTTCGTTCTTTCTTCCCTTCCCGATGATAGTTAACGAATACTGTTTGAACTTGTTAAGCATGACTGTTTTCCTTCCAGATGAAGTTCTTTATTCGTTTTTCTACTTATATTTTTTTTGCTTTTGATGTAAGTAGTTTTATTATTATTGTGTGGCGCATCTTTCTTGGTGCCATATTGTACCAAGTTTTTTCTGCATTTAAATAAATTAAATAAAAAATGTGACCGTTCTCAAGCATTCGTCCCTTGGGCTCTAAGGTCTCAGGTGCTCCAAGAGAGAAAATCAATTGCTATAGAGTAGGCACAGCCGAGAAGTGGCAATCGCCTACACACTTCCAAAAGACTCTAACACTCTGGTAGTTATGGGTTGACTAAGGCATATTTAGTCAAAATAACTATTCCTTATTCACTGCAGAATATTATACCGAGACTCAAATGTCTAAATGGAATTTTCTGGCTTAATTACTAACTGTAATAAGAGAGAAGCAATACGCCCAAAACTGAGACAACAGAGAAATATCATTTTCTTTTTTTATAAATAAGCCCAAACTAACTTGTATTACCTGTAAACTTTCAGCACAGCATGAGCTGCAGTTTTACGTACATATGCAGACAGATCTTTCGAGGCATCTTGAATAGCCAAAATTACAATAGGCAATATTAGTGGAATACGAATTGACGACAGAACACGTAGAGCTGATGCTCTAATTAACTGATTAGGATCCTGTAATATTGAAAACAAAAACAGGGACAAAAACCAAAGAGTAAGTTTAATATTTGATAAATGTTTAAGAGACAAGTGAAATGCATCAATAGAGTTTAATTAGCTTAACTTGACACCAACCCCCCCCCGTCCATAAACGATATGATATGGTCAGAGGGGTGGAGAGATTTCGGTCTTTCGATCGGAACGCTCTTGTGTTACCCGGCACACGTTGATAACCTTTGCTTACTTACAACCGCACTGCAGGACTACCTTGCTGAGCTGGGAAACTTTGATTCAAAAACATATGATGTACATGAGCTCCAGAATCTGATCGGATGGAATGGCGCATGAACTTGGTTTGGTCACTGGCGACCGTGAGAACGCGACACCTAACGCTGGCCAACTGGCTAGTGGTGGATTAGACTTCAAGTTTAAGGCTAGGGCAAGTGGCCTCTAAAGACAGCCACGCGTGGGTAGTATACCAGCCCTCTTACAAACAATGCAAATTTGTGTGGGGCATCAGCACTTACAACTGAATGACTGAGTTTTCAACATGGAAGTTTGTACAAAAGCGCTATAGGTTGTTCAAGATGCCCAACAATGAATCTACAAAACCCAACTTAAAACTGTCAACAGATTCGTTAGTCTGTCCGCATGTATTTGCTGGTGTAGGAATAAAAGTAATCGCTAGAGCAGAAAAGTCGCTACTCGAACGGATCCCGATGGACATTCACAGTAGTGTTGTTGTCCAGCTGAACGAATCCATAACAAGAAAAAGAGATTTTGATATCTGTTATTGATGGCATTTCACAATCTTACAACTGACTACACTACTTTTGGTTGGTGGTAACTAGCAGTGGAATCCAGGATCAGCGCTTCGTCCTATTTGAGGCTCGTCATCCAGATGTGTCTACATTTCCAGTGAGCGAGTACTGTTGTTCCCACTGAGATTCGAACCCAGCGCCCATTGTTCCAAACGCCAAGGTATTTATGCAGAATATGCCAACAATGACCGCATATTTTGTTAAAATATAACATCAATCAATGGGAAGTTGAAAATTAATCTAAACAAACAATAATTGTGATACCCGTTGCACAAGAAGTCAATATCGTGGACCAAGTGGTCTAGTAAATAACACTTTGGCGTTTGAAACGGTGGATGCTGGGTTCGAGACTCAATATGGACACTATCACTCACTCACTGGAGATGCAGTCACACTCAGTTGAAGAGTCCCTAATAGAGCGAAATGCGCATCCTGAATTCTACTGTTAGTTACCATCCACTAAATAAACGACTATAGTATTCACACCATCCAGGCATATAAGGGGTGGGCGGGGTGATCTGAAATAATTAGTTGTAAAGTCTATGTTCTCACGAGCGTGAATAATGCAAGTTAGAATCCTCGTAAATGTTAGCAGGTATGACACGCCTTGAATAAGCGTAATTTCTTGCTCACTAAATACTTCTTTATAACACTTAATTTTTAATAAGCGTCTATTGCTAAAATCAATTAACTGCACTAGAATTATGAATATCTAGTTACACAATTACTTCACGGCTTTCAGTCAAAATCCGATTTCACACTTAAAAGATAATAGAAAACTTATTGTTTTACGTTAATTTGAACCGAAATGTTCAATCGATGTAGACATGTCGGTTTCTAGCACAAAATCTTCTATGATATCTGAAGACTGATGGTAGTTGACTTGCAGTGCAATCCAGTGTGTACATTTCGTCCTATTCCAGACTTGTCATCTGGTTGAGTAAAATGATGAGTGTTACCTCCAATTGACGATGAGAACACCATCACCTACTACTCACTAGGGATGCAGGTACATCCGCCAGTTGACGAGTCCCAAAACCAGGATGAATTCTGCACCCTGGATTCCACTGGTACTCATCACTGACCGAAATTAACGTCACAGAAAACTACTTAACGCTACGAATAGATGTTTCCCACCTCTACTTTTTAATTATTTATTATTTTACTCAATCACCTGAGAGCAATTGCTTTGGAAGCACATGTACCTCTATAAACGACCTGGTACTGACAAGGGTACCTGGGCAGATAACTTCGATCTACCTCTAGAAATGCTCTTATGCGACCACACACGTCTACAGTCTCTGTTATATAAGTTCTGTTCACTGAGTTCACGCGGCAACGGTGTTCCTTACAGAAATGAAAAGATGAATTCGAGTGTCTTCCGCTTACAACCGGACCGGTAGACACGACAGTCTACGCAGGAGGGCTGGGAGACCCTGACTTGAAACCTAAGGTGTATATATGGGCTCTAGATTGACATATGAACATGCTCTGGTCATCGGGAACTATGGGAATTGCAACTACACTTGATGCTGCTCTAAAGCCTTGTAGATTAGAATTCAAGTCAAAGGGCTCATGGTTGGCTCCTTTAGGACAATTACCAGCTTTGGTCCAGGCTTCCAGACAGTACCTCAGCTCTCGAACAAACTACTATCAGACTTTGTGTGTCAAGTTTGGGTATGAATGATGAAATAAATATTGGAAGCATAAATGAATGCTTGACGGCGTTCGAATGAACAGATTTTCTTTCGCTAAACCGTTAAAAACACTTAGAATGACACACATACTACAAAATTGTAATGAAAATTTATATTCGTCAGTAAACTTTATTTAACCATATGTACTTACTTTTAATGCTCTTTGAAAAGTTGATATAGACAATAAGGCAATGTCTTGTTCTTGTTCAGCATAATGTGTTAAAAAGGCGTAAACAAGTTTGCGTATCTGATGTTTTGCGGGGTGGGGTGTGGTGTGGTGGAGGGTCAGTTCGGGTAGGAAAAAACAATAAAATTAATCAATAAACAGTTTAAATAGGGATAATAAGAATAACAATAATTAATGTACTGGTTCTTCACATTTGAATTTTGTTTGATTGGTTGGAGGGTTTCATCATTGTTAGAGAACCATTGGAAAACCATCCAGGGAGTACTGGACAGCCAACTGTTTCGTCAGTCTAGTTTGGGACTCTTCATCAGTACACAGCCACCTCCAGGGTTCGAACCCAGGACCTCTTCTGGTTACAAGGTGAGCTTGTAGACTATTAAGCTAGACTATTAAATAATGTAATTCAATAGCATACAGATATAATGACAAATAATAGTGAATAAAAGTCAGCACTGGCAGTTGGAATTAAAATTCGAGAATGTGAAAAGATTAACAGTTTTCGACTATAAGTTCCTTTCATCTACTCACTCGCGTTAGATTTAGCAATAAGGATATTAATAAATGAAGCAAGAAGTAGTGTTAGGTGGGAACGGAAAGTCAACCAATAAGGGCGTGTTCAGCTCATACGATTGAGTTGTGTTTTGAACGCCTTCCTTGAAGAGCAATGTTAACTGGTATAATAAGAGTAGGTTGCAAAAGAGTTGGGATGGTCAGAGAGAAAAATATGATATTGGACCAAAAATTGATTGCCTATTTGTCTGAGTCGCACGTACTGTCCTGACTAAAGTATTCAACATGTCTGGAATCAATGATTTGATAGTGTTGGGAAAACAGGTGAAAATCAATTAATTAGCAATGAAATAAATATCCTCGAATCTTTATCTCAATGTCCTCTCATTCTATACACCCCTAGATACAGGATTTCATCATGATTAGAGAACCATTGGAAAACATGCAGGGAGTACTCGACAGCTCTTTCATCCTGGTTTGGGACTCATCAGCAGTACCTACCCACCAAAGGGGTTCGAACCCGGGGCCTTCTGGTTACAAGGCGAGCTCGTAGGCTATCAAAACCACTGGGACTCGACCCAACGGCCCATGAATTCCAAATTCTGCCGATTCACGACATAGCGCGACCAATTCTCAATGTCTTCAACGAGTACTTGTCCTCACACCTGACCTGTTGTACCCTACTGGTCACGACTTCTCACTACGTACCTGAATAAGGCAAGTCACTAGTGAGCATCTCATTGATATTCAAGTGTTGGTTCGTAGGGATTTGATTGAGTGGTTACAGTATTTCACCATGAGCTGACATCTCTGTCCTATTACACTTCTTTTCTCTACTTTGTGCATGATTTCCCCAGAGAGTGGCGACTTGAACGGCTGCATTTTTGTGTTCAGTTATATATGCGTAGATAAGTCATAGTTAGTGCTATCGAAACAATTCTTTTAAGACAGCATTATATCAAAGTCCAAAGTTGTTGTTTTGTTTTTTAAGTTCGAAGTTTCATGTGACCATGTACTTTGAAAGTCTCACATTCATTATTTCCACATAAAAGTGAGATACAAGAGTTTATTTATATCAATCAGTCCACGGCTAGAAGCTATATCAGTAATTCGGAACTAATAACGAATAAACTTCTAGTTTCTCTATCTTCTGCTTTTAAAAAGCAGTAGCAATACCTCTCATCAAAAAGATGGCTGACTTCAGTAATCCTGTAGCGTAGATAAATATCTATACGCTAGAAATGACGCTAGAAACTAAAGACACACAATGTGATTGGTTACAGGATTTCATCATGAGACGACATCGGTTAGAGAACCATTGGAAAACAAGCTGGGAGTAGTAGACAGCTGTTTCATCAGCACAGTTTGCAACTCTTGAACAGTACGCACCCCACCGCCAGAGTTCGGACCCAGGAGCTTCTGGTTACAAGGTGAGGGCTGGCGTAACTTCTCAAATATAAGTGTAGTGGTCAACAGGCTCATCAATCACTTCACTCCCTATCCTAAAAGATAGGAGTTGGTATAGTCCAGTCCTGCATTATCATCTTACATTTGACAGGAGCCAGTCACATGCTAAACATACGAAGATTGCTGCTCCGCGTCATTAGAAGACTCTGCATTTCATCAGAGACTTCACCTAAGAGGATAAATATCACCCGAATACTCTAAGCTGTAAAGACTGTACCCTGGTAACAAGTCAATTTCCAAACCACTAAAATCATTCCATTAGTAGAATTATGATGAAATTAAATAAAAATGGGGACATTGAACATCCATGACGGACACTATTAGCTGTTGTACCTTTAGATGATAATGCTACGTAAGCTCTTGCACAGCTCCGTGAGTTCAAGCAGAGTGCTTTGATCGGTGTGATATACTTCCTCGGCACTCCTTTCAAGGTCAAACATTGTCATAGCAGCACATCTCGGTTGACGGAGGAGACGAATTTCCACCTTCAGGTCGAAAAATGTTAGAAAGGATAAACAACAAGAAACTCTAGCAGACCAATGAACCAGCCTATTACCCAATAAATACGCAGAAGTAAGTCAAGATGGATTGGACATACATTGAAAATACCGTTGAGTGACACCATACGTCAGGCAAACAGTTGAGTCGAACCCGAATGGGGAACGATGAGTTGAAGACATGTAGGAGATCATGTGAAGACAGAATAAATGAAGGCTTGTGGATAATCATGGAGCTAGCCATAAAAGACTGCACAGAACAAAATGAAATGACTGAATAGCTGTGAAGTCTCCCTATATCCCACTCGGAATCTAAGGGACAATTATGAATACAGCAAATTTGTATGCACCAAAATCCCTAATATACAATAAATTCAAAATACAAAATAGATTAACAGCACGGAAACAAAAAAAGAAACCATTTAAAATAAACGAATTCTAACCTCATTATCCTTTGAAACCACATTTTTTACAACAGCTGGAAAGAGATCAGAACAATCTTTACCTTTAGCAACCATCTAGATAGAAGAATAAGCGTAGGATTAAAGTGAACGCAAGAGAAACACTATGCACTTACCTCAATAATCCGCTTCATTGCACCCAGTTTCATAGCATCTTTATTACTATCCAGTAAGTTTTTCAAGTCATCAAACCTATTAAAAGAAAAAAAGAAAGACAATTAAAAAAAATAGATTATGTGGATATTTTTTGAACGAAGTAAAAAGTTAATGCATTTAAGTAGGGTAAAGTTAAACTTTAAGCACCACCAACTACCTATGAGCGAATGACCTCGAACGCATTAATCACGTGAAAGGGTCATTTTTGTGTATTTTTTTTCCTTCACGTTCCCAGTGGAACATAGGGTTTCAAGCTAGTGGCTAGAAGATTCTGTAGCAGTGTTCAATTTTACAGGATGGGGTTGTAAGCCTGATGCCCAACCTTTCCTCTTTACCAGCATTATTTCTGCCTTAGCGAGGTAAAGGAGTGCGTCGGTGGCCGGAGATCGAATCCCGGACGATGTGCATGGTCGACGAGCGTCCTAACCGCTATGCTACCAACGCACATTTTTGTGTATGGAATACATATATTTATCAAATAATGCATAAAACCTGTAGAAAAGTTTTAGAGAGAATACCTTCCTCTCATATGTGATAAAAATAGCTCTCAATTTTAGGTTGGAGTATCAACAGAGAGTATAGTTCCATTGTGGGTAAAATTTATTTTGATAAAGTCTCACAGCGTAATACAGTAATATTTACTGAGCAATAAATTGTGCTCAAAACGTGGTCATCGGTAAATACTACTGTATAACACTGTGAAACTTTATCAAAATGAATTTTACCTACCATGGAATCATACTCTACCACAGTGCATAAGTTCTATTCTTATGTCAACACAGTAATTTAACCACATTCAATACATGCAGTTATTTGCGTCTTCTAACCCTAACAATAACCCTAATCTTTCCTAAACCTAGCCCTAAAGTGAAAATATGCCTAAACTAACCCTAATGTTGCCTTTATTAAGTTAACCTAACCCTAACTTGTCATTGGCTTGAAGCCTAACTTAATCTTCCCCAAACCTGAGCTGAAACTTGCCAGATATCCCATTTAATAACACAACACTTCGATGAGGATATTTTGTTGATGATGGCATTATTTGCCAGGTTTCACTAACTTCCTCGATGCACGTCTCAGGGTCATTGGTGCGGCCGCACTCCACTGGTAGTTAGTGGTGCGTAAAGTTTACCTTGGCTTTAAGTAGTACTGTGGTGAGAGCTGGCTGCTAGCCAAATTGGTCGACAGTAATTTACGTCAATATTTACGTCCCCAATATTGATCGTGAGAAAAATAAGAACAAAGACTGATTCAACAATCAATCACAGCAGACTTTGTTTGCGTAGGCGGATACAATTTGCAGATAGACAATTTGAACTTCAATAAACGGCCACAAAGAGATGAAAGATTAGCGTCCAGCGAGAAACTACCAATTAGAAGACTATGTTTATTTGCTTATAATGATCTATGATGATTTACATGAAAATCTATAAATAAACGATCTGTTGCCTGGCCCTTGTCTTCTGTTGTTACAGTACTAGTACGAGTTCCTAGTCGAGCATAAGGCTTCGACATCATATCTCAATTTCGTCCTGTTCTATGCCATTCTTCTTTGATGACTCTTCACGACTGCCTATAAGCTTTCATCTCCTCCTCCTTCTCACACAATTTCTTCCATGTCACTCTCGGGTCAACGCCTAACTCGTCGCTTCCTATTCGGGTTCCACTCGAGGGCCTAGTAGGTGGCATCAATTAACAGTCTCATCAGTGTGTGTGTGTGTGTCTAATCCAATCCAAATCAATTTCATTCTGCATATTTGTTAGGCGATAAGTTCTTAGTTGGTTTGTTGCTAGAGTTCCGTGTTGTTGTTTTTCCTGACCGACAGCTGCTACCTTGACGTGGTGGTCGGGCTTGCACATCACAATGACCTAACAGGCTACACTGGCTGGAACTATTGTTCCTGCGAATCCTACCATGCCAAGCAGGTTGTTAGGATAGCGATTAGACTAAAAGCAGTTACACTATGCTGGGGGTCTGTGGGCGAAGTCGTACTGGTGGGGAACAGGGACGTGGCAGCAGTAAGCTGTTTCTTTCAGATGGTCAGCGTGCCAGCCAGCTATGCTGTCTCTCCACCTTGAAGAGAAGGGGTTAGAAAAGGTTGACCCCCAAAATTGTACATCCCGATTTACCTTACGGTGGTCTGTAACCGGCGGTAAGTTTACTAATATGGAATCAATCCAAGCAACCAGTTCATACAGGCCATGTGTGACCGGCCTGGCTCAAGCAGTTGTCCCCTGGGCTCTGCGGTCACGCAACACTAACCCTCTTTCTGTTTCAGGTACCCGAAGATTCAATCAACTTCCATGGTGTGGGCAGCCGGAAAGTAACAACCGCCCACGAAGCCTTCCTTCCTTGTTGTTTATCCTTTCCGGCCGGGTATCTGATCTTCAGTTTCCAGCGAACGCAGGTGTTGACTAAAGTCCGCAGTAGACTGATGGAAATGCTTACCGTGAAGCACCATGTTTCTGAACCATGTAAAAAGTACAGACGCACTTGGCATCAGTTTTAAAAATCCGGATCTTGTTCCTTATACCGAGTGAAGCAGACTTCGCCGCTGATCTCAGATTAGTGGAAGTCTGTCTCGCTTCTCTGAGCATGGCCGATTTTGATGTCTTTGCCGCCAGTAAGATTGACAGGTGACTGACTTCCTTTAGATTCCTGTCGTTGATAGTGATTAATCATTGTTGTTGGTTAACTATCTTCGCGTGCCCACTCTCTGTTACTAACCCTATTACATTCTCCTTAAGCTTTGATTGTGCTATTGTTTGAATTCAGATATCCAACAGAGGTCTTCTGTATACCCGCCCAAGAAGTACACTTATTGGTTACAGGATTTCATCATGAGCTGATATTGGTTAGAGAAACATTGGGAAACCAAAATCCCTACAAACCAATACTTGAATATCAATGAGATACTCACTGGCGACTGGCCCTATTCAGCTAGGTAGTTACCCGGGGATCTAGTGGGAAGTCGTGACCAGTAGGGTGCAACAGGTCAGGTGTGGGGGCAAATACTCGCCGAAGACATCGGCCAGTGGTTGCACTATATCGCGAATTGGCAGAAGTTAGAATTCATGGGTTGGCCATTAGATCGGGTCCCAGTGACTTAATGGTCTACCAGATCGCCTTGTAACCAGAAGGCCCCGGGTTCGAACCCCTTTGATGGGTGCGTGCTGATGAAGGATCCTAAACTAGGACGAAACAGCTGCCCAGTACTCCCTGCACGTTTTCCAATGGTTCTCTAACCAATCTCAACCCATGATGAAATCCTGTAACCAATCAACCAGAATCGCTACATACCAATACTTGAATATTAAGTACACTTATTGTTCGTGTAGGGAACTGATGATCCTACTCAGTTGCTTAGGTTGAAGTAAATGGAGCGGGATTAGAATCCGGGACGCACTAACTAAAAGTTGAGTGGTTGAGCCGGTGAGCCACATCTCCACTGTACAGTATTTTAGTCACATATCACAGCTTTTTCATGGTCTTCATTTATTAAATGAGTGACTTTTGGTGTCAGCAAATACAACGAAAAAGCTGAACTGATAAATTTTTACCCACAATACCAACTCTGAAAAGACTTAAAATTAACTTCCTTACTGTGAATTGTATCTAGAAGTGACGGTAACATTGTCACTTTTAAAATGCCAACTCATATGACTGACTGACTGACTGGCGTGTACCTAGAAATCTACTAACCAAACAATTTCACCAATAAGTTCATTAATGGTGCTTTATGGTACAAAAGCTAACCTGATCAAACAACATAGTAAACATTAAAAATGTTTGGACTTTGCGAAGTATTGCCGATAAGCAAATGTAATAACGTTAGAAGAAAAAGAAAACCCATGATATTCTTACTTATGGAAATCTGCCGAAAATACAACTCCTGAGCTTAAATCATTACCGATTTCAAAGTCGACAGTACGATTATATGAAGAGCCTTGAGAAATTTCAGATGACAGTGAAGCGGACTGAAATCCTTCGTCAAGCATTCTGAAAAAATATACCCGAAATAAACAGGATTACATTTCGAAAGCGCATACATGTTTGTGAACAGTAAAACACAAGGAGTGAATACATTGACCTTGTACTATGGCAACCAATAATCCCTTACATCACATGGAACTCCGGCAGTCAGATTATACTTTCGTATATTGCTTAGTTTAATAGTCCCAGACATAATAATAATAATTTGCTTTATTCCTGAAACAGTACTTGTGGTACAGTGTGGAATTTTTAGCACATATCTACAGGATTGCATCTAATTTTATCAAACAATTAAAAGGAGTATTTCAGAAAATAAATACAAAAATCACCAACAACAAAAACAAAAACACGAAAATAACTAAAGAAAATGCGAAAAAAAAAATACCAAGAAGTAGAAAGGAAAATAAACAAAATAATAAATAATATCTCAGTATTGGGTAGTGGGAGCTATGATATGTTTACGCGTGGTGACAGTAAAACTATAATCATAGAAGTTATGAAATGATATTTAAGGATGTTTATCGCCAAGATGATCAGTTAATTTGATTGAACAACACTAAACAATCATAAAATAAACATTTCAGGGTTTTTTTCCAATTGTCAGTTCTAATGCGGTGTTTGTAGTGGTAGTGTGAGTAATCCTGCATAATACAAAATTTTAAGATGGTGATAATGGCGTTCACAACTAAGATTGTTAGTTAATATTGCCGAACAAAAGAAAAAAACAACCACAAAACTAATATTACATGATGGTTAATGACAGGATAATTTTGTAATACTCATAGTGATAATATAGTCGGAACCAGTAGATACACAAAAGAAGGAATAGAATAGGGTACAAAAGAGTAAGCCACTGTTAATAATTTAGGTAGCTAAGTATGTTTAAGAAGGTGTTCACTGTAGAATACAAATAAGAGAGAAATAAAAGAGCCAGAATTATGTTATTTAACACCAAAGCAAGTCATAGGTTTCGCGCTTAACATTGTCTCTGTCACTTAGAGCACGGGCCAAATATGGTATCGTTGGTTGTACGAGCATATATTATTTTTTAGTGATTTCTGGTTCTACCTTATGAGATACAAGGAGAGAGTTGGGAATAGAGGGGGTGTTGAGGGTCGTAGAGTATGATTTTAGACCATTTTTCGCGTGTATTCAGATGCCTTTCTACTAATGTAGTGACGAGCTGAGTTTTACGCCCCTAATCCTACTAACTACCTTCAACACCCTTCTCAGGATGGTATAGTCCTTTTTCAGTAGCCCAGGAAAGACTAATGGAGAGCAGTAAAGTAGAATAGGTAAGATACGAGAGTTGACAAATTGTGAAAGTAGAGGTTGGGTGATTCCAGATAGTCTAAGTTTCTTAATGTAGTAGGTTAGACGGAACACTTTCTTAGAAATCGTTAGGATATGAGATGACTAAGTCAGGTCGGGAGATAGAACTAGATCGAGGTATTTTGCACTAGACTTTGTTTCAATTTTAGTCCCTTCGATGCTACAGGCTTCATGAGTACTTACTAGTGTTTGTAGATCTTGTTTATGCCTAAAGGAGAAGTCAATAGTCTGGCATTTTGAGGGATTCAGCATGAGGCCATTTAGTTTAGACCACTGACTGATGTCCGACAGGAAGCTATTTAATTTGCAACAGTCTGACTGAGACTTAACGGGAAGCGAAACAGTCAGGTCATGTGCATATTTGACGGAGTTGATTTCGTCTGAAAGAGGTAAGTCATGTAAGAAGAAGGAAAAGAGAAACAGAGAGAGAACAGCACTCTGAAGAACTCTAGCTTCAGTAAGCAAAGGAGAGGAAGCTATACCATTGTATACCGTGTACTGCATCTTATTAGAGAAGTAAGAGTGCAGCCAGTTGATAGCCCAGGACTCAGTTTGTGTAAGGCTAAGCTTGTTTAACAAAAGGCCTCTACGTACAGAGTCAAAAGTAGATGTATAATCAAAGGATGTACAACGGACATACTTGGCCCTTTGTCTAAAGAGGATACAATGTTGTGATGAAACAGCAGCGTCTAGAGTACTTCTACCCTGTTTGTAAGCAAACTGCTTTGAATCATTTGAGAAGCATAGGGAGGGAACAAGTTTTAGTAACAATAACTTCTCCATTAGTTTCTCAAGCATTAATACCACGTCATAGCAATGTCACCTTTAGTTTTCTACAAATCTAATACACAATCAGTTAACATTATTCATAGGGAAAAGCGGAGTGGACTGCACCCCCCTCCAAACGAATGAGCTGTCGATGAATTAGGATTGAGTTGTCTTTTTTACCTCTAACTTCCATGCTGCTGACTTTTTCTTTAGTTCTGTCGCAAGCGAATAACATTGCGAAAACGATCATGACTGACAAATTTCTTTGATTTAAGAATTCTACTGGTCCCATAACATAAAATGGTTTAATTTAACAAATGCCATGCAATGACTGTAAGGGAAACTGTATTAACAAGACGAGTAGATCATGATCAGTTGGATTAGCCTACCTCTGGACTGATGGATCCAAGATGAGTGATGTCGGTGTACTGCGAACATGATAAGCAGCTGCACCTGCACAAATGTAAACACGCTGAGGCAATCCGTTCTTCAGTGAGCCGAAAAAGTTAGGCGGTGATGAGATAAAAACATGACACGGATACACCAAGTATCTGACTGCTAGTTCAAGGCAAGTAGAGACATGTAGACTGCCTGACTGCAGTACTCGAGGATTTAAGAATCAACAATTGGAGAGTACTGATGATGTGGCTCAAAACTATTCCCAATGTCGCAAATGTATTCATTCATTTGTCATATTCTGGCTTCCAACCAACTTTCACTAGTCTTTATATAACTATTCTTACCTTCTTCTGTTTCCTTTTATGCATGATTTTCTAATGTGTAGTAGCCTGAATTGATGTACTTTAGTGCAGAGTTCCACACTGACAAGTCAGCCAATCGTATGTAATCATAGCAATGAAAATAATAATTTATTTCTGAAACAGAGGTGAACCATTTCTACAGGCAATAACACGTGCACAATATCCTCGTTGTGTATACATATGTATGCACACGATACTACCTCACCTGACGACGACCTAAATCTTCATCAGTTGGAGATCAGTAACTGTATGTACGGTATGCTTTGCATTTCTCAAATCAAAAGTATCATTGCAAACAGGACTTTGTACTACCATACAGAGAAGCAGTTGAAAAGTTGTTATGCCTGGTTAGTGGAATCTGCCAATGGAGTCCAGACAGATGCAATTGTTGATGACCTCATGAAAGTCAAGAAATCACACGCAAAACTTAGTCAACTTCCGCGCGGTATCGATGTTAAACAAGACACTAATGTCTCGGTTTAAAAACTAGTGCATGCAGTGTCGTTCTACACCCGTGAAACACAGATTCTGCAAGCTAGAAATGCACAGAGACTCTGAGTGTCTAACTCTGGTCTGGTCTGGTCTGGATTCAACATAGAACTTGGCACCGAGGTGCACCAGTTCGAGTTGCCACCTTCCAAATAGCACACAGAGGTAGACAAGAAGATGAGTGAAGAGAATCAATAGAGTTTGACAAGTTTAAGAGTGAAACAGAATGGGTAATGGTAGAAAGGAATATGAAAGATTACAGAGACTGAATACATCTGAGCTGGCCATTGACAACGATTTTGAGCCATGTCACCTATTGTCTCAAGCCATTGATTCCTAGAGTTCCGAGGGCCCCAACCCGGAAGTCTGCATCTCCCTACCTGACTCAGTTTAACTGTCAAGGATTTCATGGGTTGATGCGATGTTTTTGTTTGGCCACCACTTACCCTTTTCCAACCTGCACCTATATCAGCTAGTAATGCCCGTCGGGGGAGGCGATGGTTAGGCCTGCGCACCACGTCACCTAGCCATCTCAATCTATGTAACTTTATAGCCTCGTCGATTGATTTTCCTTCTTTGCGCAACACTCTACGCCGAACGTCAACACTACTTACCTTGTGAAACCACCTAACGTGAGACAGAGATCGCAGACATCTATGATCGAAAGCAGTCATTACGAGTGTCTAACCACTGCTGCCTTCCTTGAACTGCTTATTTTCACTACACATGCCATACGAGTAATTCTGAGTTCTAATCTGCTAAGTCCAAAATAACATTTCAGGAGAAATCTGCATTGTTAAACAGTACAGCTACCAGTTTTTACCGTGTTTTGAGCACCTTACTAACCTAAAGGCAGCGAGGACCTTACTACGTAGTCAGAAGAACAGTGGTATAGCCAAAACATCAAACCGATTTGCTAAAACTCATTATTTATGGAAAAAGTCATGGAATGAGAGTGAAAAGTACACAGGATAAATTTATATGAACATAAAAAGCAGAGGTATGCACCCTCAACATGCCAAAAAATGATGGGTTAGAAACGTTTGGATAAGTGGTATCTACATGAAACATCAATGAAATGCAAGTACAACGCAAGAAAATGCAAGCATTGAGACAAAAACTGATACAGTCAGAGACCGTAGAATTCTAAAAGGTAATAGAAGCAAAGACAACGGGCAGACATGAATACTTGATAACCAAACTCTTCAAACCATAAAGGTTCGTAACTTCACTGAATGGCTTATCCAGTCAACACATTTACCAGAGTATAGCAAGAGATTAATACTTGGTCGATACCTCCTGAAGTCTGGAAGAGCCAATCAAGTATGTAATCGCTTTAAGTACTTCAAACTATAACAGTTAACCCCCAACATTTCGGTAGATCCAACTTATTTTAGATGTTACACACATGAGCATATGCAGCTTATCACTATATACTTCAACAAAAACAATCAACACTGGATATTAGAAACTCGTTTAGTCTTATGATGAAATATGTAACCATCCCAAGCTTACTAGGATGCTGAATTAAATCTCGCTAAATCCGAACTAACTCTAGCATTCTGTAGTGAGTAAATTCTGAACCTGATCTGAAATGGTCTGTTTAAGCGCACAGACTAGAAGTCAGTGCCGGTTTTCAGCATAACTGGCACTAATTCAGCACCGTATTCTTTTTCTAAGCATTTTCAGGAGTAGATCAGAACCTACTGTTTACTTACCACCTTTGTTCCAGCCCTCACAGCACATAGTCAAGACTGACTAGCATTACTTCAGAACAGAAAGACTTAATTCAGCGCATAGTGGCGACTTTTTCAGATTTACATTATTAGCACTAAAAGCATTATTTCAGCTGCAAATACTATTTTTAAGGTCTCGTTGCATTATTGATTCACTGCTCTTTTTACGAACAACCAGCGTTATTTCAGAACATAGTGGGTTCACTTTAGACAGATAAAATATTCATTTAACATAAAAAGGCATCATCCACGCATACGTTAGAATTAGTTTAGAGTTATTGTTAGCTTCGGATTTGAAATGAAGACTAATTCCTTTCCTTTGGGGAGGAAACACATTAGCCAGTGGGTTTTGCCCTTCTCAATTAAATTAGTCGGCAACACATTTTTCTGCAAAAAAATTTGTTTGCATTCTTGAGTTTTACAGCATTCTTTGGCGATGCCACAAAAAACAAGTGTACAAAAAGTGGTTGCTTTGAGACCTAAGAATGCATAGTCTGAAATTACATATAAGAACCGAATCTTAGTGCAGACATTGAAAATAATTAGTCTTCGCTTTAAACAAGAGTCGTAGTTAGTCAGGTTGGGTGAGTGCTAGATTCAGAATCCAGTTTTGGACAGTTATTCAGTGGCGTACGGCTGACGTCAGCCGCCCTGTCAGATTCATAAGGCCTAAACCATGTAAAAGCGTTGCACTTAAACTTTCACCTGGGCGAATCTTACTAAGAAACCGAGAAGCACGGACTGAGGAGAACCAGGAGTAGATTTCACTCAAAATATGCATTGCAAGTGGTATCAGCGACCAACATGGAGAGCATCACGATCATCTTACTGATCAGTTGCTCATAAATACATTTTATATATTTGCTGCAAATCCAGCGAATTACATCGTAGAATAAAATATGCATTAAACACAAGAATATGACCAAAATACGAAAAGTCTTACTTGGGGAATATGGCCTTCAGATCAAAGAAAGCGCTTTCCCCAACATCCAATATCCGAAAACCAACATCGTTTCCACAAGCTAATGTAAATCAATTTGATTTCTATTTGTTCGATTGTTGGTTTTAAGGCAAAGGTCCCATATCTCCATTAGACTTCTGCTTAGTTTGTCCTGTCACTCTATTGTATGCGTCGGTGGCGCCGAGGTTATGATGCTCGCAGATCATGCACATGGTCCGAGGTTCTATCCCTGCAGACGCACACCTGATATCTAGGGTCGGCCTACAAAATTCGGGCTACTGATATCACATGCTGAAAATTCCATACGGGTACCAAAAAATACTGTGCAGAATCAAGCTGTAATCAAAACAAAAGTTTTGGTTGATTCCAAAATGAGTGGTTCTTCGATTGATTATATGTGGTTTGCATTATGAGTTCCGTTAAGACCATATCGCTGCTGTGAGTGTAGTTCATTCTTTTGCCGGTCAGTCGCCCTGTGCGACCGAAAAGTGAGACAATAATTGTCAACGTAGTTGAAGATTGAAAGATAAATTCATGGTTGTTTGCCCAAACTAAACTCCATATATTTGCCCGAAGTCATCGTTCCATCGTTCGCTGTTCACTGCAAGACAGAGAAAAAATATCAGAAACTTTGTGTAAAACAACCTAATGGTTGGCTCTGCACTGCTGCAAGAATAAAGGAATTTTGAGTCAAAAATTTGTGCTCCGGGTTTTCGTTGGATATACAGCAGAGCTACGGAAATATTCTAAAAGATAGTCTTATAATTCCTAAGCAATTCCTCGTCTCATTTGTTGTCAGTTACATTTCCCTCGAGTCTACAAGCCGTTTATACACAAGTGCCATCTGGAATTCTCCGGATTGTTTGGTCAAGTTCAGTAATGCCTGGGTTAAAGTAAGGACAAAGCGTTTTGGAAGCAGACAGAAAGTGAGTTATGATGAGTTGCCTGTTATATGTAATGATGTGTGTGATGCTATGCATGATGAGTCTGTTGTTCATTGGTCGCCTTTTAGGGATAGTAAGGGTTTTGATTTGCATAAATTCGAGCCTCGGTACTTTGATGGAAACCCAGCCGACTATCCACAGTTTATCAAAGAGTTTGAGATCATGTTGAGTAGTTTTTTATTAAATGATGAAATGTAGTTCATGTATTTGATGAGGTACTGCACTGGAGTTGCTTCAAGAGCTATACACTGCTGTAAGTTCATGCCCCCTAACGAAGGATACTCTGAGGCTATGAGTATACTGCGTCAAAAGTTCGGAAGACCTTCGATGATTGTAAGGAACGTACTCGAGGCTGTTAAAGGTGATGGTAGTCAATTACAAGATAACTCCAAGGCACTCACTGAGTTTCTGGATAGGCCGATGACCTACAAGAATGCGTTGATTTCGATGAATCGCATGAGCGATCTGAACTCAAGTTCCGTCCTAGAGGTAATAGCGAGACGCCTACCTACTCGACTGCAAAGGAAGTGGGTGAAGATAAGCTCTCGTATAAAGGATGAAGGTATTGAGCCAAAGTTTGATGATATCCTGAAACTGGTAAAAGATAGTGTCAATCAAGCTGTGAGCAGGCTTGCCAGTACATTGCATCCTACCTCTAGAATGGAGCAGTCAGAGAGCGAAACGCAATGATTTATGATGAAAGGGTCTCAGAGAAGTGGATATCGAGAAAGCTTTATGGTGTCTAGTAATCCAAATAAACTTAGTGAGTGTAACAGCTTTCGTCGGACGTCCCCAATAGATAAGTTACAAGCTGCAGGACGAACACGGTTGTTTTTCGTTCGTTTGCAAGAAGTCACACAAAGGCGAACTGCGAAGCAGTGACCAAGTTTAGTGGTAAGCTAAATGTGAAATCAGCCTCATCAAGTTCTGACTACAAATCGTGTGACGATAATGGTGCAGTAAAGAAGCCTGTAGTTGCAACCAGTAAGCCATTGTTGAATAGAGTGTCACAGACGACACCGCAGTTTGTGCAGGAGAAGGGAGTTACAGGTTCAGAGTTTGGTTCTGACTTCACAAGTTTACAAGGTATTACTAGTCAGAGTAAAGGTATAACACCTTTAAGGATTTGTGAGGAGGAACCCAAATTGTCTACTACTGTTGTTAAAGAGTTTAAACATGATGAAGTCGACCAGATAGACGATGGTAAACTGAATATTTGTGATAATGATCATGATAGTGCATATTTGTCTTTGGCTAATCATGATGAGATAAGTGGAATGCCTACTGGTACTACTGAGTTGAATAAAATTTCTGTACAACTTGAACGTGAAGTTAAAGTAAGAGCGGATTCGGTGGCAGAAGGTGTGCATACTCATGAAACCGTCAGTGTAAATGATCAGCGTGTAGCCCACCTGTCGACAGATGTTAATGCTAAACTGGAGCTAATATTAAAAGACAGCAGTGGTGGTAATCTTGCAGTTAGACAACCTCCTAAAGGCCGAACAGCAACAGCTTCTGATGCACCGCTAAGTTCATCAACTTGCGTCACTCAGTCGTCGTTGGTGTTGTCATCCACAATGACAAAGACGTCCATGAACTCACGTGTCTTGTGCTATGACTATGCTGGTATCGGTCTGTTTGAAAAGACGAATGTCGATGGTCAATTTAATGAGGATAACCCAAGTGTGTATGAGAGGGTAATTGTTAAATTGACTTGCATAAATAAGAATTTTGCAGCTTTCAAGTTACTATTTGAATGTTATTATCTTTGGTGTAAATTGCTCTGTGCCTACGCTTGGTTGGTCTGATAAGTCGTGTGTTTGTTAGTCATCTATATTCTACGACACAATGACATGGGAGTGTCACCGTTCAGAGTTGAGGATATAGGTGATAGAAGGAGGTCAGCTAATGGACTCTGCGACGATTTTCCAGCCTAGAGCGTCAACCTGAGAAGGATTGTAGGCGTACTGCTGTAAGTCCTACAATTCTTCAAAGGGTAGTACGTCGAAAGGCAGCCCATCCTACTTGGTGTGTTATTTTGTACATATGTTCATGTTGTATATACTGAATTGGTATCATCTTTCATCTGTCTGTTGGTTGATTATATTTGTGTTCGGACGTCTTCCACTTGGATCGTCAGCCTGAGAAGGAATGTAGGCGTACTGCTGTAAGTCCTATAGTTCTTCAAGGGTAGCTCGTGAAGGCAGAATCTACAACATTTGATGGGTTTATTGTACATATGGTTGTGTTACTAATTGAGTAGGTTCCAATAATGTGATTGTTGGCTAATCTTGTTTGTGTCCAGACATTCTTCAGCTTACAATCGTCAACCTGAGAAGGGTTGCAGGCGTACTGGTGTAAGTCCTGCAATTCTTTAAAGGAATTCCATCAAGGCGTGATTCGCGAGTTTTTGTACTGTTTGTATATATGTGTGGTGCGTCATATCAATCGGTGTTTTTGGATTCACTGTGTTTACTTGTTGTTTTTGCATCTTGTTGTTATTGCATAATTTTGCTAAAATTTTCGTCGTGCTTACTTCTGAAGTTATTTCGAGTCTTCTACAGCCGTGAATGAATTGATTGATGTTAAAGACAACAGATGGGTCGTGTTTGCCTCGGAGGCTATTGCTGAGAATGACATGCACACTGAGATAATGATTGGCTGTGGTACCATAGGCCGGGGAGCGAGAGAGAGAATGTAGACGACTAAGGCTTGCATACGTCACAGTTACTAGAACTAAGGCAGAACGAGTGACAAGCGATTGCAGTGGTAAATGGTAGTGAATAGATCAGAGGATGGGCGAAGGGTATCATAAGGTGCTGTTATGGTCACGTCGCATTCTGCAAGAGTCATTCTAGCAAGTGGCGATTGTGTAGCGAGATGTCAAGAGGATGCCTTTAACTCGAAAATGTAGGTCATCATCGATGAGTGAGATTTCGCTGTGGCTATGCATGTGGTGTGTTGGCTTTGCTGTTTGTTTTCCATTTCAGCTTTTTCCGTGTGATCCAGGTTCTTGCAATGGTATCCAAGTCAGTGTGTATTGGTCGTTATGGAAAAAAGGGATGGATCTCTTTTACCGGGGAGTGTCAATGTAGTTGAAGATTGAACGATCAATTCATGGTTGTTTGCTCAAACCCAACTCCTCCATAGTTTTCGCGGGAGTCATCCATCCATCAGTCATCGTCTCATCGTTCGCTGTTCAGTGGAAGATCGAAAACTATCAGAAACCTTGTGTAATAACCTTATCGTTGGTTACATATTCGCGTAAGAATAAAGGATTCTCGGGTCGCCAATCAGTGTTCTGGTTTTCGCGTTGGTTAATACAAAGTGTTTCTGAAAGTGTTCCAGGGACAGCATGAGGTCCAGCGTAGTACGTCCTAGACATTGTCAGTTTATGAGATTTGGCTGACAGGTACCTGATAATCTAGGGGTTGGAAGAGTTGCAAGGCATGTTACTTAAGGCTGCGAACATGCCTAACTCTCTAACAATGTGCCTCAGACTGAAAAATATTCGGCACGACCACTGCTTTCTTAAACGTCTTCAGTTTTCAGTACAGACAGAGGCTAACAAATTCATCGACCCACAAAGTATCCCACTAAAGGACACAAGGTTCAAACAAATAGAATCTGTGGCGCATAAGACAGTGATTGAAGGGCGCTTAGAATCACCTTACTGCACCTAATGGTAAGAATGGTAAGTCACTGCGAGTTACCAGAATATGTAAATCTCAGGTCAACACAGTAGAACTCATGGTCTCCTTCCCTCAAACCTCGCAAATTTTGCTCCACAGAACATGGCACAAACCGAAAAGCGATCAGATAATGGTATTTCTAAATGCAACCCCGCCACCCTCTACCTTGAATTTACATCTATCTCTTGGTGGTCCCAAACCCGGAACCAATGCCTCCCGAAAGTCGACATTATCCTCTCCTACCCATAACACGAAAGTTGGGTAGGAATTCGGTAACAAATCATGCCGAAATATACCACTCGTAACAAAAAATCCCCTACATTTGTGAAATCCTTCTAGAAGAAATCCGCGCCGGATGGCGAATAGGACACGAAATAACACCAGCAACCAAACGAAAAACAGAAATAAGGCAAGACTATGCACTAAAAATAATGCAATCACATACTTGCAGAATATTTCAAGTGGCACTAAATCCCACCCTCATAACTAGCGCAGCAACTTCACCACACCAAATGTTACAGAGAAAAATACTCAGAACCCAGCTACCAGACACTCTGGGTCCTCAAAGTATGGCACACAAACAAACTTTGACGGAATATGTGGCACAGGTCTGCCGGGGATTAAACTACGGGGCAGTAATATATATAACGAAACCCAAGTAAGGACACAGAATTTCTCCAAACATCAGGCAGGATAATAGGTCATGGACATCACAAGGTACCAGTGATTTTTTGTCCATCACATCCCTGGCAGCGCTGACCAAACAATTGGAGTGCTGTTGGCTCTTATGAATCCGCACCACCAGTGCCGTCTCTCTTGGAAAGAAAACAGCCAGAGCTTGCTGCACACGCAATTATCAGTCACATGCAGCACTTGCACGTAAATGGGCCAAATAAAAACTCCCAGCCATCTTTCCAACTTACCTAAACCTAGAACTACCTTATCCTACACCGAATCCAATACTACAACTCATCATCCAATAAAAAGAGCAGATAATTACTCAACAGACATAGATGGGCATGACATCTACACTATCTGTAACACAGAGTCATCATGCCACATAGAACCATTGGATGGAGAACCACACACAGGCCTAGTCAGTGAGTTTGAATACTACAAAAATTACTTCAACTCTCAGTTCTACCTAATCCTTATAAATCCACCACTACCTAAAACAAATTACCGATGCACCTTTGGAGGTTGCGATGCTCAACTTATAAATGCACTTGAGCAAGCGTCTGATCATCCATACGATCCTACATAATAATAACAATAATTTTCATATAAACATAAATTTCCATGAAAATGCATGCCATTTTTACAGGCACGACCAAGTATGTTATAATGTCAAATCTTAAATTGTCTACAAGTTAATAATGTTCCAACAGTTAAATATTTGATATATATATATATAATTACACTCATTGTCTGAACCAGGCCGCATAGTTATTGAATTGTACAGCTGTCCTCCAGGTTGAGCGGGAAAATCGACTTCGTTTCGTTTTCATCCCGCGGTTGTAGGCATACGATAACCAACCAATATTGAGGTAGGTACAACGTTTACAAGGGATTGGAAGCTGTTTTAGAAAAGTTAAAGTGCTAAGGTGAATCAATAAAGTGTAATGAAATGGTTGAGTGCAAGTATCACTAATAAATGCATTAATAAAGGAAACTCCCTAGGCTGACAACGTTCATTTGCAATGTATAATAAAACCAATATATTTTGTACTATCATGATGTCCACTTTTGGCTTTGATCCTACATGAAGGCACTACTCACTCACACAACTTTCTTGCTTCATTTATGTACATAAGTGAAAATTGGTTAGACATTTGAATAGAATCAATATGAGATGAGGTACATTCGGAAGTAATATTAGTGTTATCAATAAAATCAGTGGATACTAAATAATGTTAAGATCCATTGAATTCACATCATAAAATTCTAACAAGTTATTTACTTATTTTGGTTATGAAAGCATTTTATTTCCCATCTTGTTGCATTTTGTTGATTAAGTTAATGTTATTTTTGAGTGTAATTTATCTTATACTGATTTTATTCAAATATATAATCATCAGTTTTTTCTCATGTATATAAACGAAGCAAGAAAGTTGTGTGTTGGTACCTTGATTCTATCATGGGCAGAAATAAATTGTGCTCAAAACGTGGTCATCATTAAATATTGCTGTATAACATTGTATGACTTTATCAAAATGAAATTGTATTAATGGTGGAGATTTACGGGCTGTTTGACACAAGTAGTCACTTAACAGAGTTGCATAACTCTGTCACTTCATCGTCACTACTCGAAGACTGTTTGCTGATCAAGAAAATTTCAGTAGCTGGCTGTTGTGATATTTCTAGAACTCTACCAGCCAAATCGGCAAGGTCGCTATTAACAACATCTTCGATCCTAACAAGCACAGTCTGTACTGCCCATGACAACTTAGATAGGAACAGTTATCTAAAGAGTCTCTCATCGAAATGATGTGGGTTGATATTTTCCTGAATTCGTGCCAGCGTGTACACTGCACAATAATTGCCAAACTAGACACCGCGAAAATGTTCATCAACACGCTGCCGATCTGAGAAATCGTTTCTCCTAAGAAGAGCATAGGGCATCTCATGCTTCTGCATTGTCCAGCTGAGATGGCACGAGCTGGACAGTAGTAGTTGGTCGGATGCAGATGAGCTCAGGTGTATGGACGCCCATTATAAAAAAGCATTTTAAGTTTGGTAAATATAAATGTCAATGTCCAAGTCCAACTACACCGGACTTCACACTGTCCTTGGAAAACATTCAGGAACTATGCTCAATAACCAACGCAAAACAACCAGAGCACAAATCGGTGACCCAAGAGCCCTTTCTTGTTGCAGCAATACAGAGCCAAACATTAGGTTATTGTACACGAAGTCTAAGAAAACATATCATAACAAAAAACCACAATAATAATTCTGAGAGTTTTTTCACTGTCTTCCAAAGAGCTACACACGAAGAACTGTAGGACTTACAGCAGTACGCCTACATTCCTTCTCAGGCTGACGATCCAAGTGGAAGACGTCCGAACACAAATATAATCAACCAACAGACAGATGAAAGATGATACCAATTCAGTATATACAACATGAACATATGTACAAAATAACACACCAAGTAGGATGGGCTGCCTTTCGACGTACTACCCTTTGAAGAATTGTAGGACTTACAGCAGTACGCCTACAATCCTTCTCAGGTTGACGCTCTAGGCTGGAAAATCGTCGCAGAGTCCATTAGCTGACCTCCTTCTATCACCTATATCCTCAACTCTGAACGGTGACACTCCCATGTCATTGTGTCGTAGAATATAGATGACTAACAAACACACGACTTATCAGACCAACCAAGCGTAGGCACAGAGCAATTTACACCAAAGATAATAACATTCAAATAGTAACTTGAAAGCTGCAAAATTCTTATTTATGCAAGTCAATTTAACAATTACCCTCTCATACACACTTGGGTTATCCTCATTAAATTGACCATCGACATTCGTCTTTTCAAACAGACCGATACCAGCATAGTCATAGCACAAGACACGTGAGTTCATGGACGTCTTTGTCATTGTGGATGACAACACCAACGACGACTGAGTGACGCAAGTTGATGAACTTAGCGGTGCATCAGAAGCTGTTGCTGTTCGGCCTTTAGGAGGTTGTCTAACTGCAAGATTACCACCACTGCTGTCTTTTAATATTAGCTCCAGTTTAGCATTAACATCTGTCGACAGGTGGGCTACACGCTGATCATTTACACTGACGGTTTCATGAGTATGCACACCTTCTGCCACCGAATCCGCTCTTACTTTAACTTCACGTTCAAGTTGTACAGAAATTTTATTCAACTCAGTAGTACCAGTAGGCATTCCACTTATCTCATCATGATTAGCCAAAGACAAATATGCACTATCATGATCATTATCACAAATATTCAGTTTACCATCGTCTATCTGGTCGACTTCATCATGTTTAAACTCTTTAACAACAGTAGTAGACAATTTGGGTTCCTCCTCACAAATCCTTAAAGGTGTTATACCTTTACTCTGACTAGTAATACCTTGTAAACTTGTGAAGTCAGAACCAAACTCTGAACCTGTAACTCCCTTCTCCTGCACAAACTGCGGTGTCGTCTGTGACACTCTATTCAACAATGGCTTACTGGTTGCAACTACAGGCTTCTTTACTGCACCATTATCGTCACACGATTTGTAGTCAGAACTTGATGAGGCTGATTTCACATTTAGCTTACCACTAAACTTGGTCACTGCTTCGCAGTTCGCCTTTGTGTGACTTCTTGCAAACGAACGAAAAACAACCGTGTTCGTCCTGCAGCTTGTAACTTATCTATTGGGGACGTCCGACGAAAGCTGTTACACTCACTAAGTTTATTTGGATTACTAGACACCATAAAGCTTTCTCGATATCCACTTCTCTGAGACCCTTTCATCATAAATCATTGCGTTTCGCTCTCTGACTGCTCCATTCTAGAGGTAGGATGCAATGTACTGGCAAGCCTGCTCACAGCTTGATTGACACTATCTTTTACCAGTTTCAGGATATCATCAAACTTTGGCTCAATACCTTCATCCTTTATACGAGAGCTTATCTTCACCCACTTCCTTTGCAGTCGAGTAGGTAGGCGTCTCGCTATTACCTCTAGGACGGAACTTGAGTTCAGATCGCTCATGCGATTCATCGAAATCAACGCATTCTTGTAGGTCATCGGCCTATCCAGAAACTCAGTGAGTGCCTTGGAGTTATCTTGTAATTGACTACCATCACCTTTAACAGCCTCGAGTACGTTCCTTACAATCATCGAAGGTCTTCCGAACTTTTGACGCAGTATACTCATAGCCTCAGAGTATCCTTCGTTAGGGGGCATGAACTTACAGCAGTGTATAGCTCTTGAAGCAACTCCAGTGCAGTACCTCATCAAATACATGAACTACATTTCATCATTTAATAAAAAACTACTCAACATGATCTCAAACTCTTTGATAAACTGTGGATAGTCGGCTGGGTTTCCATCAAAGTACCGAGGCTCGAATTTATGCAAATCAAAACCCTTACTATCCCTAAAAGGCGACCAATGAACAACAGACTCATCATGCATAGCATCACACACATCATTACATATAACAGGCAACTCATCATAACTCACTTTCTGTCTGCTTCCAAAACGCTTTGTCCTTACTTTAACCCAGGCATTACTGAACTTGACCAAACATTCCAAATGATTTTCATCTAACACCTGTCTAACTAAAACTCGGAGGCACTAGTCAGACGAACGTTAACTCTCAGCGAAATTTCAGGAACTCTCGATGTCTAGATTTTACTACGCTTGACCTCATGCTGTCCCTGGAACACTTTCAGAAACACTTTGTATTAACCAACGCGAAAACCAGAACACTGATTGGCGACCCGAGAATCCTTTATTCTTACGCGAATATGTAACCAACGATAAGGTTATTACACAAGGTTTCTGATAGTTTTCGATCTTCCACTGAACAGCGAACGATGAGACGATGACTGATGGATGGATGACTCCCGCAAAAACTATGGAGGAGTTGGGTTTGAGCAAACAACCATGAATTGATCGTTCAATCTTCAACTACATGGAAAACATTCTCCGCTCAACAAGGAGAATGTACCGATAAATACTATGGTCCACACAAAATCAGAAAGTGGCTGGTGGAGTTCATGGAATTATCTGAGAATTTCCAGAAATACATTGGACATAGGATCTAACTCCTTACTGTGTTTATCAGGGTAATACTAGGCGAATGGTCGGACCTAATGCATACAACCCCACCATTCATCTGACGCCGTTTCTCAGCTTCACTACAAAAGGTGTAAGTAAGCTTGGACAATACTGAATGAATTAACTAGCGGGCTGTTTGCTGAGATGAAATTTGCATTTCTCAGCAGCACGGACCAAAAAGTTAGCGGATTTCCTATTACTGCATCCAGAGGAGGTGAAACAGTCTCGGGCATTTCTTATGATTGTCATTCATATTGAGTCACAGGTGGTACATGGAACATCAGTGGAACACCTCTATTTCATTCTGTTTACTGAAGTTCTTCTTAGCTGGCTCCAGGATTGGCAGTAAGATTTTATCCCCTGCACACACCATCTCCTCCGTTTCACCCTCGAAGTGACGCCAATTGCCGGTTCGTCTTCAAAGCTCCACGTTGCATAAAGTTTTTCAGCCAGTCATTTGATGTTCAGCCTAGAGCGAATGCAGCTTTTGGTGAGGTTTTTTCATTAATCTGTTCCAAGACTGTAAACCTTGTAGAAGCAGTGACTGACTTAACATTACTTTTAAAAATGCAGGTAGTGTTTCATACATGGGTGCAGACGATTCTCACTTCGACTTCAGATTAATGAAGATTTCCTTAATTCCTTGATTTCCTCTCTGAAATCTTCATCTGTCCACCCTATGGGTGAAAAGACACAGACTACATGAGTGAGGCAGGTGGCTTTCTATAGATTTCTCCCGTTGGTAGTGCTCAATGTTTACGGCTTCTAGTTGAACATCTTCTAGAACTTTACTTTCTATAACTCAACGAAACAACAAGAAGCGAATACCGAAAAATGGTTGACCCACTCATCTTATGTCAATTAACACGCCACGTCTGTTAGCTGTCAAGTTTAGCTCCCAAGATCAGTTGACTACCGCTCTCCATAGATGGTACGAGACCAAGGACAAGGTTAGCAAGCACATTCGCCGCTGCGAGAGCCGGTCTCGCATCCAAAGGAGAGAACAAAGCGTAGTTTAAAAAATCCTCAACCCCTAGTCACACTACAGCGGTGCAGCACGGACGATGATAGCCAGTGTCATCCGAGTGCTCCGACTGAACTAGAAGAAAAAAACGCCAACAGGCCGGTTCCTGGGGAATCGGCCAACTAGTTCGTAGGATAACTCGTCAACCGATAGCCAATATCAAGTCAACTGCCCCCAATACGGGGAAGTGGTGAGACTGACTACCAGTTGCCTATGCAGTAATGTGAGAGGGCTAAGAGGCAAAATAGCTGAATCTAGACACCTACAATCACAACTGAACTCCAAAATCATAATACTGGCGGAAACCTGGCTAACCCCTACGGTGGCAGACAGCGAAGTCAGTATAAATGATATGGTCCTAGTCAGGGTGTAACAACAGAAGACAAGGGCCAGGCAACAGATCGTTTTATTATGAAAATCAACACGTATTTATACATCTTTCAACTACATTATTATAGACAAGCGCAGTCATCTGATTGGTTGTTTAGGTAGACAAACGCAGGCTTCTGATTGGTTGTTTCGGGATTCCTTGACAAATAGAGTTCTCTCTGCGAATCATATTTTGCCACGTTAACTTTGCTGTGATTGGTTGTTGACTCAGGCTTGTTCATATCTTCTCACGGCCCACATTAGTGACCTAGACCTTAACGTAGATTAGTGCCAACCAATCGGCTAGCAGCCTGCTCTCACCACACTCGTCCCCCCGTCAAATACGTGCGACTGAAGTCGGCTTGATCTACTTGGTGCAGGCGTCATCGTTGGCTTGTCTCGCTGTATCCATTTCTGGAGCTCGCTGACGTTCACGCGCCTCTTATTGTTCGCCATTGCGACTGTGTCTGCGTAACCCCATCTCGAAGTGACCATATATGGTCCTTCCCACTTTGGAAACTGTTTGCCTGACCCTGTCGAACATTCGTCCATACTTCGGCTCACACTTTCATATGCTGCTTTCACCCGACCTCCCAGCAGCGTCCCAAGTAGCAGCTCCATCGCTGACAGATCTTGAACGCCACTCAACTGCGCAGAAGCCTTGAAGTCCTGCCCGAAGATCCATATGTCTCCATCAGAAACAGCAGGGCATAGGCTTTCCATTTGTCGGTAGGCAGCGACACCAAATGTAACAACAGAAGACAAGGGCCAGGCAACAGATCGTTTTATTATGAAAATCAACACGTATTTATACATCTTTCAACTACATTATTATAGACAAGCGCAGTCATCTGATTGGTTGTTTAGGTAGACAAACGCAGGCTTCTGATTGGTTGTTTCGGGATTCCTTGACAAATAGAGTTCTCTCTGCGAATCATATTTTGCCACGTTAACTTTGCTGTGATTGGTTGTTGACTCAGGCTTGTTCATATCTTCTCACGGCCCACATTAGTGACCTAGACCTTAACGTAGATTAGTGCCAACCAATCGGCTAGCAGCCTGCTCTCACCACAAGGGGAGATAGGGACCTGAAAGAAGGAGGTGGAGTCGCCATATACGTCGACAAACAGCTCAGATGTGTTCACGCTATGGACCCTCCCCTCACTGAGCTCCCTGACTCCATATGGTGCCACCTCACCGTTGGGTACTGCAAATATCTAGTGGGCAGCATTTATCGATCACCTTCATGTGGAGCAGACCACAACCAGGTACTGCTAGATACAATCTCAGCAACTCAAGACATGGGTTATGATCAAATTGTCATAGCTGGTGACTTCAATGCCCCATCTCTTAACTTGGTGTCGGGAAAAGTTCATGATAGATTTGATCGAAATCTGCTGCATACCATCAGGAAGGCTGGATTCACTGAAAATTTCAAGATGGATACTAGATGGGGCCCTGATGGGAAGTCTTCTAGACTGGATTACGTGCTCACTAGTGACCAGCTACTAGTGGAAAATGTTCAGATCACGACTCCCAAAGGTAGTAGTGACCACGCGGTCATAGTATTCGACATAGTCCTCCGCGAGCGCTTACAGTGGGACAATACACAGCCCTATCTGTGTTATAACAAAGCCAATTACACCAAAATGCGAAAATTTCTGTCTGAAGCAAATTGGCCTAAAAAATGGACCGAGCTAACAGTAGAAGAACACTGGACAGTGGTGAAGGAGATCATTCACCAAGCGGTCTCAGACACTGTTCCTTTAGTCTCACCAAAAGCTAGGAAGCAACGATCATGGCTAAAAAGGGGGACACAACGCCTTCTGCAGGCGAAGCGAAAAGCCTGGTTTGCGTGGCGACGATCAAAGAGTCAACCTGAACATGAAGTGTACCTTGAACTCAGGAATCGGTGCAACATACGGGCCCGGAGCGATAGAAGGACATTTCAGGGAGACCTCGCCAATAAGCTTCTCGTGAACCCCAAAAGCCTATACAGGTTTATGTCCGAAAGAAAACCGACCAACCAGGGAGCATGCAATCTGCCAACCCCTAATTGACCTGTTCCAACACTCCCTTGATGTAGGGAAACTTCCATGTGAATGGAAACGAGCAATCCTATCCCCTATCTTCAAGGGTGGTGACCGGCAGAATGCGACCAGTTACAGACCAGTTGCTCTACTTCCAGTGATATCGAAGATATTGGAAAGTCTCATTGACGACCACATGAGAAAATACTTCGATGGGACTAACCTTCTTCACGAAGCACAGCACGGTTTCAGGAGGGGAAGATCCTGCGTGACGAATCTTCTACTAGCTTGGAACGATTGGACACTATCCTGGGACAAAAAGGTACCAGCCCACGTGATCTTTCTCGACTTTGCGAAAGCATTCGACACAGTTCACCATGGTCTGCTCCTTCACAAAATAAGCAAGGCGGGTGTTTCTGGAGCACTTCTCGCATGGCTGAAAGATTACTTAGGCGAGAGAGAATTCTGCACCAAAGTCAACCGCATCCGATCATCCTGGCACACCTCGGCATCAGGGGTTCCTCAGGGTTCTATCCTAGGGCCGTTGATGTTTTTGATTTTTATCAACGACCTGCCCTCCAACTAAACTGCTCTGCGCTTCTTTACGCTGACGACGTAAAGATTTGGAGAGCAATAAACTCATCGGAAGACTCAGATAGATTGCAGGCTGACCTGCAAACTCTGGGAAACTGGGCTCTGGCTAACGGAATGCCTTTCAACCTAAAGAAGTGCAACTTCATTCCGGCAGGTCACAGAGTGTAAATTACACCCTTGGTGGCCAGAACTTGAGTTGTGTTCCATCAGAGCGCGATCTAGGTCTTATTCTAACAGAAAAGCTAGACACCAGTGGAAATTACTCGAGGGACGTCGCCAAAGCCTACGCAACTTTACACTTTATGCATAGGCAGCTGGGAGCTCTCACTCCCGAACTGTTCTTAAGGTTATATAAGGCATATGTGAGGCCACACCTTGAGGTGCATAATATCATTGCACCTCCGCTACTCAAAAGGGATGCTAACATTCTAGAAAGTGTCCAGAGACGAGCGACAAAATGGGTGATCGGCCTCCGCAACAAATCATATGAGGAAAGACTAAAGAAATTAGGTCTTTTCACACTTAGTTACCGTAGGCACAGGGGAGACCTCATCACCGTCTACCAGATCCTAAATGACCAGGCCCACCCAAATAAAAGCATCCTGCCATTAAGTGATTATAGGCTTCCACGAGGTAACCCGCTAAGGATAGCACACCAGAGACCAAAGACTCGAGTGCGATCACATTTCTTTTCGCTTCGTGTTTGCCGTCTCTGGAACGCTTTACCGGCGGCCGTGACTACAGCGCCATCTCTGGAGATTTTTAAGCGGAAGCTAGACAATCATGCAGAAATGCAAGGTTTGTGTCTCAATGGCTTATCCTCATAAAACTTGAAACCACACTGTCAATGGATAAGCGTACAAACTAAATCCCCACGACCTATTCTGCCTTCTCTCACTCTATCTTTTCCTTAGGTCACCTTTATTATTCCACTTATCTCAACCTATATTATCTACACTACAACCCATTATTTTTATTCTTATTATTACTACTATTCTGCTTTTATGACTACACCGAATGACCAACGGGAGTTAGGTCAAACTCCATTCACGGCAGCAATACAGTCCTAACATACTGCATACTACAAACCACATCTCGACCAATCCCCGCACCACTCCTCTTGGAGTCTACCAGAGCTAAAGCAGTCGAGTGTCGGGACTTACTACGCAGAAGCTCACCGAAGATCTGGAACCTCTACCTCACAATCAAGAAGCGAGCTCAAAGAAATCACTGGTTTATACTAGCTCGTAATCAGGATATTGGATATTGTACAAGCTTGGTAAAGTGACATTGGATGTTGAATATTGTTAGGATATTTCATTTGTTGTTTTCTCTTCAATATCCGCATTTTTAAACCTTTCATTTTCACGGAAATGTTACTATCAGTTACTTTCTTTTCTTTTCTGGAAATATTTAGACTAGGTATTTTCATATGAAATGTTATTTATACGAAAGTTTATTCAATGGAGTGTTATGTCTGTAGAAACCAAGAGGGCAATAAAGACAAATGCATTAAAACTACTATGCAATGTCTAGAGGACGAACACTCGTGTATAACAAATATCTCATACACAAGTAAGTAAATAAGTTACTTATATACTGGTGAATTGTTACTTGATAAATACTTCATTTTAACTTTGTGACAAACAGCAGTCGGAACTTAACTTCAGAATTAAAAATTCATCTTCTTCTTAGATTTCTGTCAAAACTAGTGGACTAGATTTTCACATGGTTATCAGTGGCAAATGATAGACTGGAAAATACTGCTATTTGAAAGTAAATTTAGTCTAATCATGGAGCTAATTTTTAAAGATAGAGAATGAAGTTGTAAAGCGTGTTGACTACTCCGTTTAATTTGGAAGTCGCATTAGCCCTAATGAGCTGATTGCTGATGAAATCTCAGCATGTATAAAAAAGGCTCATGCTGGTATCTGCCTACTTAGATAGTCCTTGATATAGGTGTGATATTCACTTACCGATCAATGAACATGTGTAATGACTAGCAGTTTTCTTTTTCCTCCACTATAGCTGTGAAAAATGCCCACAAATAGCGGAGATATGGGAAGGCTAGCTTTCTTTGACCACATGTTTTATTTTTTATCTCCCGTCTTATGTTGTATAATGTGGCAAGTAGAATAGCTGTTAGGCGTATTGTGGTAGGTAAGAAGAGGGATATAAACGATGAAGCTGCATCGCTTGAGATATTCAGTGCACGTGTTGTACAGGCCTAGCCATCGCCCTCCTTGAAAAGCAATGTTATCTGGCATAAGATTGGGTTGGAAAGAGTTGGCATTTGACGGACCGAAACCTCGCATTAATCCATTAAGTTTAACCGACGTCAGTTCATGACGAAATCCCTGTAAACCAACACTTGAATATCAGTCTGATACTCACTAGTGACTCTCTCTATTCAGTTAGGTGTTTACCTGGGTTCTGGTAAGAATTTGAGACCAGTGTGCTACAGCAGGTCCAGTGTGAGGACAAATACTTGTCTATGACATATCGTTAATTGACAGGAGTTGGAATTCTTGGGTTGGCGATTGGATCGGGTCCCAGTGGTTTAATAGTCTACAAGCTTGCCATGTAACCCGAAGGTACTGGGTTCGAACCCTTGTGGTGAATGCGTACTGATGACGCATCCCAAGCTAGGATGAAACAATTAACTGTACAGTACTTCCAGGTTTTCCAATGGTCGTCTAACCGATGTCAGTTCATGATGAAATTCTGAAACCAATCAAACCGATACTTGAAATCTTTGACAGTTGGTGTGAGCCACATAAGCAGATGCAGGCTGCTTGATTGTGGCCCTCGTGATGCTAGGAAACAATGGCTTGGGACTATTGATGATTTAGCTCAAAGTCATTTTCAGTGGAGCAAATGCATTCACCCTCTGTGATCTTCAGCACCCGTTATAATCCTCATATTTTTCAATATTATTACTCGTTCTCCCATAGAATTTTGTTCATTGTAGTTTTTTTTGAATTTCGTCTTTCTGTTTTGTTCACCTATGTATGCTGCATGAAGTGTGGTAACTTGAACAGCTGAACTTCTGTAAAACGTTTTACACTGAAACTCAGTCAGCTAGTGACCGTTTTACAGACTGACAACAAGCTGATAGTCTAGGATCTGGGAAGGAGATTGTAATTGCAATATTTTGGCCATTGAGAGTGGAAGACATGAAAAGATTGGCTAGCTGTCTTTGATCATAGGTGCCTGAGCTCTATTTCCCGTGTAAAGTGGTATAATAAGGTGAGCAACATTGAGGTTAGGCGTCAAGTTCTAGGTAAACAGGGGAAATCAATCGACGAAGTCGTGAAGTTACAAAGACTGAGATGGTTAGGACATGTGTTACGTATGCCAAGCCATCGCCTCCCTCGACGAGCAATGTTAGCAGATATAGTGTCAGGCTGGAAAAAAGCTAGCGGCGGTCAAACCAAAACATGGTGGCACCAGTCAATGAAATCCACAACACAGTTAGTCTAAGCCACTTATGAAGGTGTAGACTTCCAGGCTGGGGTCCTTGGGACGGTAAAAATCTATGGTTGGAAACAATTGGTGATATGGCTCAAAATCGTTCTCAATGGCTGGCTGGTGCAGATGCATCCACTCCCTGCAACTTATGATTTCCATTGAAACTATATTGTTCTCCATTATTACTATTCCTTTGTCTCACACCTCTGTTTAGTGTCTCTATTATGCATTTTTTTCTACTTTCTTCTGTTGCTTTGTATGCTACATGGAGCATATATGTACATGCTTTTATATTTTGGTAGAAAGCAGTACACTGATTACAATGGGAAGTCTTCCACTGCTTGCTTCACTTACTCTAGCTGGTGTTCCTTATGTAGCTGTTCTTTCTCCTTTTCTGTTCTCTTTCTTCTTACTTGACTTGCCCAGTCTTATGAAGCCAGTTTCGTTAAATATGCTGATGATCTGACTGTTTCTATGCCCTTTACTTCTGAGTCAGACTGTTCCAAAATGCATAACATGTTATCAGAAATTAGTCAGTGGTCCTTATCAGATGGTCTTAAGCTTAATCCCTCCAAATGTCAAGTGGTTAATTTCAATTTCAGATGCAAGCGCGACTTACATTACATGATTTGGTCATTTCGTAAGGTCCCACTGTCATAGATGAAATAGGGCTTGAAACTCAAAAGAATGTTAAGTACCTTGGACTGTGTATTTCTTCTGATCCTTTCTACTCTTAACACATCACGTCAGTTTATAGGGAGATATTTTGTTTAACGTTCTACGTAGGCAAGTTAAGACAATATGGTATCACCCAGTCTCTACTTTCTAAGTTTGTTAATTCTTGTATTCCGCATATCCTTCTTTAATGACTCTCCTTAATCTTTCCTGGGCTAGCATGTTGTTACACTGTGAAGGGCAATAACATCCGTCAGTAAGGCGAATGAAGTGTTGTTAAACCAATTAGTTATTATTGTTGTAGATAGACACATGGACTCATGCAAGAAATTAGCAAATATTATCCCTAAACACAACTCTCTTCCCGCATCTCATCAAGTAGAACTAAAAGCAACTACAACTATGCTTGGATGACTATGTATAAAAACTCTACAATACCTTATTTGGCAGGCATATATTTTATTTGATGAGGAAGGTGTGTAAGTCAGGAAATTACCAGCTTACTGAGGAACTCTAAGTCAACGATCATCTTCCTTCATTATTATATTGTTGGTAATATTTTCACCTAATCTTATATTAACATTCATACTGAACAATGTTAACATTGTAAGTGCCCTCTTTTAATTATTACCACTGTAACGAGGAAATTAGATGCAATACTGCACTACTACATGCCAGAAATTCCATATTTGTGCCAAAAATACTATTTGTAATAAAGCTATTATTACTATCATTTAACTGGTGTTTCGCTTCGGTAATTCAGTGGTATAATGCTCCCCAAATACATGGGACGTCTGAGTTCGATTCCTGGCTGACTCGTTCCTAAGGGGTAGATAGAGTTCAGATTCCACATGGAAACAAGGATTGACTAGAGACAAAGGACATTTCCCGCCATCAGACTCATTCTACTTTACAATACAACATGTCCGTTAATCCAGTCAAAAGTAGATAAGTATCCTGCTCCGCATGTCAACTCCAATTCACCTGCACTTGGGAAGGAAGTACATAGGAACAACTGACAGGAGAGCGTTTACTAGATTCTTCGAGCATATCCCTAAAAGTTTCCGTTTGTTGTGTATAGCAAAGTGTTCTCAAGTACAATGGCCAGACAATCAATTGACTGACACGGGACATACAATGGAAATTAATCAGGCTTTCAAAATAATCAATACATAAAGAAAACCATGGTTACTTTGGTTCGCAGAAGCCATTGTCATCAAAAGTCTCCCACCCAAACTATGAATACAGATAGAGACTGTGATTAATCTCTCACTATTCTGGCAACTGTAACTATTTTCCTCATGTCTGTCTCTGTCTGTCTGTTTTCGACATAGAACTTTGCACAAATGTGCGGAAGTTCGAGTCGCCACACTCCGTGTAGCACGCGAAGCAAGAGAAGAAAGTACAAGAAAAGCATAATAGAAACAGTGAGCAGAGGTGTGAGACAAAGGAGTAATAAAGAAAAACAAAACAGTTTCATTGGAGATCATAAGTCACAAGGAGTGGATGCATCTGCGCCACTGAGAACGATCACTTTGAGCCATGTCACCAATTGTTTCCAACCATAGATTTTTACCGTCCCAAGGACCCCAGCCTGGAAGTCTACACCTTCATAAGTGGCTTAGACTAACTGTGTTGTGGATTTCATTGACTGGTGCCACCATGTTTTGGTTTGACCGCCGCTAGCTTTTTTCCAGCCTGACACTATATCTGCTAACATTGCTCGTCGAGGGAGGCGATGGCTTGGCATACGTAACACATGTCCTAACCATCTCAGTCTTTGTAACTTCACGACTTCGTCGATTGATTTCCCCTGTTTACCTAGAACTCGACGCCTAACCTCAATGTTGCTCACCTTATTATACCACTTTACACGGGAAATAGAGCTCAGGCACCTATGATCAAAGACAGCTAGCCAATCTTTTCATGTCTTCCACTCTCAGTGACGAGGTGTCGCTCACAACCATAAAGGAGGACGGAGCGGACTGATGAGCAGTACACCCGCCCTTTGGTCGATAGTCGAACATCTCGTCTACGCCAGAGTCGGCGTAAACTGGCAAATGCGAAACGAGCCCCCTGTATTCGTGCTGAGATTTCGTCAGAGATCAACCCGTTGGCGTTGGCTGATTGTACTTCCCAAATAAGTGAAGCGGTCAACGTGCTCTACCACTTCACTTCCTATTTTTAAACTAGGCGTCGATGTAGTCCAGTTCTGTAACACCATCTTGCATTTGGCGGGAGCGAATCGCATGCCAAACATTCGTAGATTGCGGCTCAAGGTGTTTAGAAGACTCTGCATTTTGTCAGCGTCTTCGCCTAGAAGGACTATATCGTCTGCATATTCTAAGTCAACGAGATTATTCCCCGGTAGCAAGTCAATCCCTGAGTCGCTGAAGTCACTTAGGGTTAAGTCAATTAACACATCTATG